TTGGGTTTTCAGACTCTGAATAGGAGCAATAACGGAGGCAATGATCAGTTAAGGGTTTTATTGAAGTTTTGTGGTGTACAGAGAGGAGTCCAGCAGGCAGGGCTGTCAGGAAACTGCTGGAAGAGGTTTGGTGACAGGTGAGAAACAGTTCGGTGCAGGTAGAGGATTGAGGGATGTGTGAGACTCACAGAGAGGAAGGCTTGGCGTCTGTTTGGGAGGATGGTGTCCAGTGGTCCAGTCTATTGGTGCAGGTCCGATTGGTGAGACCAGATGGTGGTGTCTGAGGGTGGACAGGCAGGTGAGCTCAGGCAGGAGGGCTTCTTTGGTTCTGAGGCCAGAAGCCTCACTGGTTCTTTGAGGCTGACTGAGAACGCCTCTAACGGGGGTCCAAAGCACAGAGGTCTCTGGAGTGGTTTCTAGGCTTGGGATCCTGGATTCTACAAGAAGGGAGCAGAGAGGACAGGGTTAGACTCAGGCAAAGCTTAGATGCTAGGCTTGGTTCTGGATCAGTTGTACCAACGCTGGAGCATTAACGAACTGACGCCCTCCTCCTGGTTCCAGCTCCTTAAAAAGGGTGGGAATCAGCCTGATGAGGAGCACCTGCCCATCCAGCCCTGCAGAGAGAGAAAAAAAAGGACAAACCCAGCCTGCACCAAGGACTGGGAGTATGACAGGAAGTCAGTGTTTCTCCTAGTATCTAGGGGGTTTCTATAGCTGTGAGAACCACAGCAGCTATTATCATGGACTCATGAGGTTTACCAGCAGAATATGCAAACCTTCTGCTTCCCACATCTGATTGCAGCTGTATTGCTCTATCAGGTCCCTTCCTGATGTGGATCTAATGTAGTTTTGGTTTTAAACTGTACGATTTAAAAACTCTGTATCAAGGGCATTTTCAGTGGATCATTAACTTGTCTGCAGACACCGAGTGAGCTGGTGGGAGTCCACAGCCCACACACACTCTTCTCCATTACTTTATATTTTCATATAACACACAGACACATGCAGGCGGGCTGCAGACGTGAAGAGGAGATGGGAAGCAAACCCTGTCAGCTGCCTCTCTGTGTGGGAAGATAAAAACACGCTGGTTGTTCAATGTGCCACATGCAAAAAAACGTCCGTTAACAGCCTGTAAAGAGGTAAAAGGGAGCCCAAAAAAGAGACATATCTCTGCTCAGAGTGACCCATTCTGATGAACGCACACTGACTTCTAAAGAATCTTTTAACACTGATTAGCTGATCCCAGCAGATTGTCAAAAAATGCTCATAAATAATCCCATCTGACTGCTTAGGTCCATCAGACAGGACAACTGTGGGCATTTACACACACGCATACAGACACCCACAGACATAACTGAAGCCAAATTACAATCATCCATTTACTCACTCAGAAATATCAGTCTGTTAAATATTTTATCTTAGCTCTTCTTTCAGGGTACAACATTGCAGAAATTGTAATTTAGCATATTGGGCAGCTCTTCTTTATGCGGCCACCCCAAACACTAAACCCTGCCCTCATAATATTTTATTTATTTGTCAAGACACTAAGCATCTTGTTTCTCACGTGTAGCGCAGCTAATTCTGTAGCTGAAACCTAACTTTCTGCTATAAGTGCACCACATGAATGCTGATGGCCCGACGCTGCAGACCGTTTCCCTGAGCACTGAGCTCTCTGAGATTGTGAGCAGCTCCCAAAACGGACATATGGAGTCGTGTTGATAACCAAGCACTTCCTGGATCGCATGCGGAAGGAGCGTAATTCATATTTGTAACAACGGTAATAAGTCTGCATGAAGCACGATTATCATACACGACAAGGAGCATAAGGACCAGTGCAGCTATAGAGCTGTTAGTGGAAGGCAGCTGTTCAGCTTCCTGTGATGCTGGTCTGGAATAGAGCTTAGCCTCTGCCACCATTTATTCCTTCCTGGCTTCATGTAGACATCTGTTAGCAGTCTCAGACCTAAAAATGAAAACTAACCACAAAATAATTATTATGTGGTTAGTTTTAGGATAATTATTAATTATCCTGCATGGATAATAATTATTCAATAATACAATTCTCTCAGATAATAATAAATATAAAAAAGAAAAACATTTTAGAATGTATCTCTTTGATTCATGCATCCTATAATCTACTACTGTAGGTACAGATTCTGTTCTGGAGACTTCCTTGCCTCTTGAGTATTCAGGAAAATCTATACAGTATTCTGTAGCTAAGGAACCGGAACATGGCTGTTTTATCAAAGGACTTTCAGCTCAATGACCCTTGGAAAATTGATATAACTAAAGAAAAAGTAAAAAAAAAATGGACAGAAAGAAATCAGTTGCATTAACAATAAATCCTATTCACAGCCCAGGATGTGATGTCTATTTTAAGGGAAAACTAATTTGAGCTTGCTCCGTGTTTCTTACTGCACAAATATCAGTCTCCTCATTTCCATGGATCAATAAAAGAATCAGAAATACATGGAGGTTTATCCTGGGAACATGGGCAAAGATTTATTCAGGAGAGCACAAATCATTTAGCCATGGTGGTCAATTTGTGGGAGTCATTTTACATGTCTTATTTTAGCTGCTCCTTTGATTAATAAAAATTAAAAACTCTAACACTTTTTGGTGTGTGAACCTGAACCACTTGGTTTTATGTAACTTTTGAGTTTAAGATACATCTACTAAAGGCAGGTTTTTGTTTAATAAAAGGGAATACTTGCCTAACTCCTTAATTCTTTGTTAAAATAAATGTTCCATTTTAGAAATTAATTGAAACAGATATTTTCCCCTTTAATGTGCAGCTGTTCTGAGAAAAAAAGATCAGAGATCAGGACAAAAGCATCTCTCAGCGATTTGCTATAGTTCCAGTTTACTTTGCTTGAGGGAAAACCCACAAGTCTTTACGTGGAACAGTTTCAGATCTCCTCCAGTAGACAGAGAACATCAATATGCCCTCAACAGAGGTGTGTTATACTGCTTATTTTGGTATTGGTCTAATATAATGGCAAGTACTGATAAAAATATTAACACTTTTCAGTCTTTAAGTCTGTTATATCATTAAACTTTTGCCCATTAAAAATAGATTTTTTGTTTTTCCTTTACAAAGTTTATAGGTGAATAATTGCGTATGATATTAACTTGATTAACAGGTTAAAAAAAAAAACTGAACTAATTTGTATTTACTATACATAAGTAAAACCAAGTTTCATCCAACCACTGCAGGAATTTTTTTTTAGAATTTTCTAAAATAAAAAAGTAAAAAAAACAGGGTAGACAAAGCATCTGTAGTGTATAAAAGAGTTAAATTGAATATAAAGTATAGATCTCACAACAATAGCATGTAAATGATATCATACCAACTTGGTGTCATTATTTTGTATTGATCTGCCCACTAATAATCCTAATATGGCAAAATAGGCTTAATAAGCATGAATGCCAATGTAGCACATAATTTTAGGAGAAATACAGAAAAAAAAACATTGTATTTGCATCTGGCATAAACTTTGCAGGTTGTAGGATCTCTGTATGTCTGCAGCCTTGAAAAACGCAAATGTCCACATGTGTTTAATGATAACACCCAGCGACAGATCTGTTTTCTGACCTCTGTCATCATGTGGTACAATCCAGCAGCGATTCCTGACCAATACAGGCTATCTAATAACCGTGTACACTATGTTCAATTCATTGCATTATCTGCTGCTGATCAGACAGCAAGAGCCCAAACAGAGCTGAAGAGCTTCATTAGTGCAGAACAGAGCAGATCCATTAGAACTCATTCCTAATGAGCTAATGAGCAGCTGCAGGCCTCAAACAGATCACAAAGATTTCAGTCGTTATTACAGACCACTGGCACTCACTCATCTGACACAGACATGCCCTGGACCTTTTCTTTATTCAGTAAACATTTACTTTTATTTGCTCAGAAAGAGGCAGACTCATCTCCTCAAATGCGGATGAAACAGCTTTACAACTTTCTTACGTTTTACAGGTGGTTATTTTCCGTCAAATGGTCCGGTTCTGTTGATCCTGCATTATGTTCCCAGGTTCAACAGGACCTTAAAGCTGCAGAAATGACAGAACCTATGCAGATCACCTGGGAAGCCAAACCTTTGGTTTTCTGCAAGAAGTTATTTTTATTATTGTTAGATGGAGCCTAGGTGGAAGTTCAACTGAATAAACTGATTACTCGCCTTCATCCGCCTACGACACAGCCAATCAGCTTTAAACCGCGCCTCCACGACAGCCAATCAGCATCCAAACTTCATCTCAAAAGGCCTCAGATCCACAACTCGTCTGCTACCCAGTGCGCAGGCGGTGGTTGCGCTGTGTGACTTCATTCAGATGACCTACTTCAACCGCCTCTAGCCCCTCCTCCACCAGCGTAGCTATAACTTCATCAGAGTTTCATTACTTCTGGACTCTTGCTATCCAGCAGTATCCTTACGATCCGGCAGAAGACTGCCATGTTGAGTCTGGTTCTGCCAGAGTTTTCTTCCCAATGGGAAGTTTTTCCTCCGCACTGTCGCTTCATGCTAGCTCATCATGGACAGGTTATCTCAACCTGTGTTATCAAAACTGGACTTCCATCCATGAAACTCTAGTATCAGCTCACTCTGTCCACTAGACCTCTGCATAAAGCTCAGCATTCTGTGTCGCTAACCAGTAGTCTAGAGACTGACCAACTTCATCTATCTCCACTCCACCACCAGTTTCAGGCCTGGGGGGAACACCCAAAGATTAAGTAATTGTATCAGTAAATTTCTTCTAGTTGTCTTTCTTTCCATGTGAACTTGCTGTAGCATATAGAATGCTCTGCAAGTTTCACATAGGCTCAAACCTTACAAACAATGTGTCATGCAAGATGTTTTAACTAAGTTATTTGATTTTTTTTTTGCAGGTTTTTTGGTTTTAACCACCTGCAGAAAGCAGAACCCAGCAGAACATGCAGAATACAGGAACATCTCGTCTTGTGTTAGAACTTTTGCAGCAGAAAGCAAAGGACCTACTGTGGACTCTTGGGGTAGAAGGGCAATGTGACGTGGCACAGCTCGCTGATATCAAAGGCCGTGGGTTCTGCAGAGATGGCCTGCCTCTTGCTGCGTTGCTGATCTGGCTGCAGAACCAATTTCTGTTGCTGGGCCTGGACCTGTTGGGCTGTGGCGGGTCGTATCACTGAGCGGTACTTGTCCAGCTCATTCTGCAGCCTCTGGATCAGCTCGTCTTTCTGGTCAAGCTCCAGCTCCAGCTCATCAATGAGGGCGTCGCGTTGCCGTAGCTCCTCGATCTTCTCCTGCAGAGCGTACTGCAGGTCCCGCAGGGTTCCCATCGATCCTTCAGGTAATCCAAGGAGGACTACAGATCAGGAGCTCAAAGGGCTTCACTGCACCTTGACCTCTTTGGGATATTCAAGGTCCTTTATGATATATTTGGGAATAAAGTGTTAGCGTGCTCACAATGTACTATATCTCTGCCTCAGCCTTACATATTTGTAAAGTGTTGGAGGCTTTTCTATGTAATTTAAAAGTGCAAATGTTCGTCCCTGGAATATCTGGAATACAAATTACTTCTGGTAGCTTTCCAAGAGTCTCTTTCAGCCAAAAGTCTTTGGAACTCCAGATTCTCAAAGATTTCAACAAACTTCAGAGTTTCTGAATAAAATCCTCCCTTTCAAAGCTGCTACATCTTTTCAAAGGTATTCAGAGCATTATACTGGCTTGGCAGTGGTTCCTTTAGGGTACCTAATCCCTCCTGGTCTAAATCCATTTATTTTGCAAATATTCCAGAAATCTCTGCAGCTATTGTGTCTTTTAAACAGCCAGTAAAGGGTCCCTCGGATTATCACTACATGCCTGACATTCTTAAGGAGATGAGAAACATTTTAGAGTTGTTTTAATAAAAAAAAAAAAAACAGGATTGGGTAATTGAATATGTAAATAATTGTTGGGATTCAAGGCACTTTTATTTTTTTAGGAATTAGAGTTAATCAGGTACTCTGGAAGCAGATTGTTTTTCAACGAAACCATGAAGTAGGTGATTAAAAAGTGATTCACACTGAAATAACTAAAATCCGATTAAATAGCCTATTGGGTGCTGTTTCTGTCCGCGGGTCACATTTCCGACCCAGCTGATGAGATCCAATCAAAACAAATCAGAAGAAAGTGGATCTGGGTTCATCTGTGAGATCCATTAAAAAACTGATGAATAATCCGGAGAAATACTGACAGAAACAAAGTTTGGTCTACGTTCAGTCTGAGGAGCGCTGAGGGAAATTACCCGCAGAGAATATCCAAACCATCGCCGGACGGATTTCATTAAAGTGCGAAAACCAATAGAAAAAAAAACTGCAGGAATCCAGCTGCTCACTTTTTTCCAAAAAAAAAAAAAAAAAAACGCGTTTTAATCCCTCTCGACAGCGCGAATTATAAAACCCGGAGCCTCCAGCAGGATGTTGAGGGAAATTAGAGGACAAATGGAGGAGAAAAGGTGCAGAGGAGCGGCATACAGGAGACCTTAGAGCTGCGAGCCTTTAGAGAGCTGATCTGAACAGTTTCATCTGCAACATTTCAAGCTGAAGCGGCTGAGAAAGAGAGAGAGGAGGAAAGTTAGGCTGCCTCAGCTCCTCTTCATCACCTGTCCTCCTCCTCCTCACCTGTTCTCATCAGCATCACCAATCCTTCTAGCTCCCCCTCATCACTTGTTCAGCTTTTCTAATTTAGGAAATAAATGGAGGAGTTTAACTGATGGTCCCTCGCAATCTCATTGTTATGGTTTCGGTTCTGTTCCAAGTTTCATCTCTGAGTTTTTTATTGGTCTTATTTCCATTTTTGAGTTCTAGTTTTTTTTTATTGTATGTGAGTTCTTAGATATTTGTCCTCTTGTGTCGCTCTCCTTTTCCTTAGCTCCCTTCTTGCCTCCTCTGTTCACACCTGCTCCCAATCTGCTAATTAGCCTGATCTTTTCTAATTAAACAGTTCAACTGAAACATCATTAGTTCAACTTTTTTATTTTCTTTATTCCAACTTTTTTAATATTCTTTTTTGTTTCTGCATTTTTTGTTTTATTTTATTTTATTTTTCCTACTTGCTTTGCTTCTGTTTTATTTTACTATGTTTTAATCATGTAAAGAATTTGCATCGTCTTTGTACTGAATTGTGCTATACAAATACATTTCCCTTGCCTGTTGCCTTTGCCTCTTTGTTTCTCTCTCCCATTAACCCTCCTATTCAGTCACTATTGGCTTGTTTGTCATCATTTCTTTGCCCCCTTGTTGTGAGTATTCCTGTTTTTCAGTTTTTGTGGATTTATGTTTTTGGATTTTTGCTTCTGTTACATTTTTTGTTACTAAAAGTTCAGGAAACCACTTCAGGTTCAGTGTCTGCATTTGGGTCCTCCATCAAACCTCCTCATCCACTTGACACTCATCATCGAACCCCGTTTCATCTGAAGGTTACTTACATTTTTTTAAACATCAGGGATTTGTTCTCTTTTTTATATTTAGTTTCTTGATTTGATTAAAATTATCCCTTTAATCCAAGGTGCAATGAAGTGAAGCCATGCTGTCCTAATTTTTCTTAACGCTTTATAGGGCACTCTGTGAAATATTTAGAAAATCAACATTTCAAGCCAATAATGTTATTGGAGGGGGGGGGGGGGGGGGGGGGGGGGGGGGGTCCATTGTAAGGGGATCCAAAATGCAAACTTGCCTTATACAGGGTTAAACTGATTCCAAGCAAATTTAAGAGGAGAAAAATACTGAAAAGAATTCTTAGTTTGGAATATCAAGGCTGCCAGAGTAACAACGACGCTGGACTCAATCAATACATCAACTGAAAACATTTGTTCAGGTTTAGATTCAGATTCTATTTTTTTTAATGTCAGAGAAAATAAAAAAAGTGTATCTTTTTGGATTTATTTATTTTTTATCTGGATTATTGCAATACATCAGGAAACCAGGAGCCATAAACTAGTTAAACATCAACATCCTATCTATGTGTAATATTCTGTGCATAACGCATTGGAACAATAGTTGTGAAACTGGTCCATAGTTCTATTTATACCAAATCTTTCTGTATTGGCATCAATGTTTGGCCTGCTGTGTTCAAACCCAGCATTTTCCTGCAGATATTTTTCAGAAGACTAAAACAAATTAATCTGAAAAGGAGACATTAATACATGAATTTTACACAGAAACTGTTCTTTAAAATTCTCCCTTTTCTCATTATTGCTTTTAGAGAACATGTATATCTGTGCAACAATGTTCTGATCAGATTGAAGTAAAAATCACCCACAGGAGTATGATTTACCAACTTCTGTTAAGGAATGAATGTTTTTGTAGTCAGATTACCCTCTCTGCTGGTGCATTGCTGTCATTACAATACAAAGACCAATAAAAAAGCAAACAAACAAATTATCGGAATTTGTTAACAATAGTTAAAAAACTTATAATTATTTTCCTTCTTAAAACTTTTTGTTTATTATTATTAAATCTGTTTTGATCTCCAAACATCCCTGATATGAAATGTTAATTTACTTTCTGTTTTTTTTTTTTTTTATATATATATTTTTATTCCAACCTGAAAGGGAAAAAAAAATGCTCACATTTGGCATAAATAATAATAATAATAAACATTATAATAAAAAAAAGAGTTTTGGAAGAGGCTTAAAAGAGCTAATCATGTCCAAAACCTTTCAGTCAGAAACAACTTAAATTTGATATTCACTGTAACTTGAGAAAAAGTGTTGACACAAAACATTATGCTTGATAATAACAAAGATCTATATAGCCCACATTAAAAGTATATTGAGTATTAATATAGTATTAATAATACTCAATAATAACTATACCCTTTTTTGTAAATAAATATGCAACAAGTTTTCACTATAGACTATAGATCATAACCGTCATTATCACAGTATAATCCTTAATAATAATAAAAGCACTCATAATAATCTCTTTATAATCACAGTGCACAGTATAATATTGAACAAATATAGTACTCTAATATTTGATTAGGATATACATATACAGGTGTTTTGGTTTAAACTAAAAACTTACTGTTTCAGCTTGTTGTCCGATTTTCAAAAAAAAAAAACTTTTTAAAAAGGAGCCAAACGTCATACAAAAAGCTGATTAAAAGCTCCTAAGGAATCTATATTTTTTAGGATTCAAGGAGCAGTTGATGGTGTATTTTAGATCCCCCTTCAAAAAAATGTAAAATAATAAATAAATGGAATAGAAATAAATCATCATAACATTACCACATGATTTCAGGTGGTGCTGACTAGTTTCATTTATTGATTAATTCTATCTCCCATTAAACACCTGATTTGATGGTTCAAATCAAATGATTGTATTTAATCTTATGGTAAATAAAAATTAGCACCTAGGCATTCAACTTGCTTTTATAAACTTTTTTGAATGAATGGATTCTCATTTCAGCCATTTAATTCCTATGTGATCCATTATGACACCAACTTTGCAATAAATCCGGTCATCCCTTTTAATTGCTAAATATTTTGCAGCCAACTGGAATTGATGGGAGCTCAACTTAAATGAAGAAATGAAATCACATGTCAGTGCCAGCTGATGCTGGAGAACATAGTGAACAGAGGTCACCAACATTCTGCTTAGTCTGAATGCCTAACTTCTTTTGTCTATCAAATTTACTCCCAGACAGTGTGAAAGCTGTGTCAAAGCTTTAAAAACAGTCATATAAAGTATGTGAAGACGTGAATGAGCCTTAGATGCATGTGAAAAAGTCTATCTCTGTCTGCTAACATAATAGATGAATGTGGGTTTAGCAGTCAGGCATTTTCGACCAACAGTATCTGACATCACAAATGTGCTTCCGGATAAATGGACTCCAATTCCTATAAACCCACACAGCACCTGCTATAGAGGCCCATGCCACACTGAAACCAATGGGTAAATAATGGGATTTCACTCAAATATGTTTGGATATGAAGAGAGAGGAGTGAAAAAGTTTGGGAATAAAATGTAAATTGTTGCCCTCAGCATTATGACTTCCAGCTGTGTGTTCTCACCTGAGTGTGTCCAAGGAAAGCTCTGCCTCCCTCAGGTGCTTAGAGAAGCTGGCAAAGTTCTACCCAATCAGCTGATGATGGCACCAATACAACAGACTGAATCTAAAATTTTTACAAAATCATCTGTCTGAGTAACAGAATGAAAAAGAAAGGTAAACTACAAGTCAACCTTCAAGTGTTATAAGTTGACTAAAAAACTATCTAACAACTACTCTGTTTATCTTGTATTGTGTTCTGCTGCAATCTGTAGACTGTTGGTGGTAGAAAAGTAGCTGAACTGTGGAGAAAAGAAGGGGCAAAGGCAGAGGAGGGCAAGGGAGGCCCTGGATCCCCTATAAAGTTACCAGTTTGTTACTCAAATAAAGGTAAAAATTGCCCGGGCCTCTATTTACTTTAATTAAAAGTTAGTTAGTTAGTTTTTTAACAACCAAGTTAGTAAAACATAGGATATTGGCCTTTAATGATTCATTAAAAATTAGCTGTTGCAATAAATAAATTTATGTTAAACTAAATCTGCTGCCATATATCCAATCATCCTTTCATAAACACATTTACACACTGACGTGCAAAATTGTGTTTTAGAGTTTAATTTTTGTTGCAATATCAATAAAGGGCAGATTATATATGGAAAGAATATCCCCTCTGGTCTTACACATACTTTAATATATTTAATGTTGAGAAACTACAATTGCAAATTATAGAGAAACATATTAATTTTCATATTTTTTGCACCCTGAAATAGACCCCCCCATCTCAGCCTCAGAATACAAAGCTTAAACATTACTCATATTGTTGTGTAATTAACAGATATCTTTTAATTGTTGATGTAAAATAAGTAAATAACTTATATAACTATGCTAATTTTCCTCAACTGATGTCCATAAGCCTCCATCAGTACTATGACGCCATCTACTGTGTCTTCACCTGTGTCAGCTGACTTTCACTGACCGTTCTGAAAGCAGGACGCCATGGTAACCACCTGATAACATCATCACCTCTCACCGGATTTCTTCTGGTGGCTCTATTTGATATTCCAGCTGCTTGTAAAATCCCTCCAAATGACTTCCTTTGCATGCAATGGCTGCCATACATTATATGCATTAGTACTCTGGTCTCTCTGGCCTTTTAATCTGAAATCAAACTTTTTATTCTTTATCCTCTTTTTCCTTTAAAAAACTTTGAATTTTCCATTATAAGTGTAGCTTTATTAAAGGATGCAGTACTATAGTCACACTTGCCTTGTGATGATAATGACAAATATCATTATGACAACAGCTATGATGATAACAATTTGTTTATACAGTTTTCTTTCAAAAAAAAAAAAGAATTGATGCAAATGAAATAAGTCCATTTGGATCCGCATACACACTACATGATTAGCTTAACTGAATATTATTAAAACAAATATCATAGATAAAATTTGCAATGTTCAAATTAGTTCCATTTTCACTGAAAATCAATGAGTTTCATCCACAAAGGAGCACACAGCATATCTGCGACTTTGTGATGATTGTGTTTTTTTGTTTATCTATTTATTTGTTTTTGGTTGAATTGTTTTTCACAGCTTACACTACTTACAGTACGTTAGACAGAGTTTAACAATTGAATTATGAATCCAATGCACTTACTGCACTATTTGATGCCCCCAACCCCCTTCCTTGATGATACATATCCTTTGACCTCTTTTGCAAAATATAAGAATGATGTTCCTGCTTTTACCACCCTTTTGGCGAAACCATTGATTGTTTTATACCGGAAATAATCTGTATCACCTTCACACATTCTCTATTGTCAATAACCAGAAGTGGAATGTTTATGACTCTATGGAGACCATTCCTTTACTATGTTAACAATTCTGATATCACACTTATTCTAGACCCCAATGCTATCTATTTAAGTTATTTAGCTATTTGAATTTGTACTGTTTTAGGCATTTGCTGTTTGATGATGTGCAGGTTTTTGTTTGTTTTGAATGTCAGCTGTTTGTATGCTTTTTGTTTGTATGCTTGGGGGTTCATTCTTCTTAAAAAAGGAAAATATACTTTATTGAGATATGTTATTTGTGATCTTTTTGTGAAATAAAGATAGTGAAATGAAAATAATTGCGGTTTATAGTAGTTAACAATGGTACCCAACAGCTTTGAATAAAGCAAAAAAGAAAACATTCTTAAAGGCTTTAGGTTTTTTAGAGAATTTTTGAACAAAAATTTCACAGCAGAATGACATTACATGTTCGGAAAAGGATTAGAGCCATTGAAAAAAAAAACAAAAGAAAAAAATGTTATCGATGGGAAAAAAGTTAAAAAAAATTTCTCAGAATTCTAACTTTAATCTCACAATTCTGACTTTTTTCCCATATTAAACTGAAATAAAATTTAAAAATCAGTTAACTTTTTTTTTTTCCAGTGGCTCTTATGCTTTTCTATGTAAATGTCATTAGCTTGGAAAGTGTGTGTGTTTGTTTTATTTTATTTTTTTTTTACATTATTTTGTACAAAAATTATTCCAAAGAAGAAAATCTGGGTTCCCTTTTATTAAACATTTTCTGTATTTCCTTATTCCAAAACCTAAAAATACTGTTGGTTGTTTAAAATGGCAAAAGATTTTCGAATAGAAAAAAATATATATTTTTATTCAATGGTCATGTAATAAAGAAATAACTGAATTATAATCAGGTATGTAAAAGGGGCGTAATGTCCAAAGCACATACTGTATGAGTTTGTTGTCCATGTGTTATACAAGGATAACAGCTGCTTTTTTTCTGCAGTTGGTTTCTTTGGTTTGTCTGTTAAAATGTTTCTCTAATCACATAGAACAATATGAGAGATATGAGAAAAATAATTCAAATGATTATAAGAACACAGGAGATTCTGTTAGAAAAATGTTAAATCTAATAGATCTTGATTTTACCTCCAATATTCATGTTTGTCAGAAACATTTTTAGGCCTTTAGAGACAGTTCTCTGGAGCAGCTGGAAAGGCCTCTGATCCGGATCCTGTCGGTCAAAGGCCTCATGAGACCCACATACACACACACTGACCTGCCTCAGTTAGTCCACAGATAGCAGCAGGTTAAACATTAACGTCCTGCAGCTTGTAAAGCTAACACCAGGACAGTGAACCTTTGGAGTTTGATATGATGTGATCACACACAAACACACGCAACACAAACACACACACACTGACACAGGGGGCTCTCACACACACTTCCACTCAGAATGACACAGCTCTGATCGGAGGCAGGTGATCTCTGAAATTGCTCAGGTGAGTTTTTCTGATTTTTATACAAAAAAATCTGCTTTAAAGCATCAACTTGGAGAGAGATACACATGAAGTATGATTTTCTCGCCTTCTCTTTTTCTCTGCTGTGTGTTGAGGCTGAAAACTGAGCAAACAGCCGGGGTATGTGGTGACTGAGCTGCGTTCAACAGCTGTTTGAGCTTCTTCTGTCAGTGAAAGTGTTTCTCTTGATGTTTCCGGGCCACTTTAACACCAGTTTAATTTCCTTACTGGTATAAGACTGGAAGCTATGCCCTATAATCTAACGTTTCAATCAGGTCAAATCCTTTTTTTAAAATGTGCAAAATAGCAATCCTAATGCCATGGTTAGAAAATTTAAAGTATTTGCAATTTAAATAAATCTTCATTTCTTTTTTATGCTTAATTTTATGTGATATTTCAAAGCAGGGAAGATTGGAGCATGTGGAGGGGAAAAAACATCAAACTCAGTTCAAATCTTTAATTTGTGTTAAAATTGAATCTTGTATTATTATTCATTTAGCTGAAACGTTTCCTGCCAAATTTGCTGCTGTGAAAAGAACCATTTTAGATTGAATCCTGATTCTTAAATACTGATTAAATCCTCAATGTTTATCAGTCTGCAGCAGCTCCAAAATAAAAATGGAAGAAAATTAATTATGTTAATGTCGACGTTATATCGAATCCAATTTTAACCTTTCAAACATTTTCTTTACTAATTTCACTGGGAGGAGAGTTAGGTGGAACATTATGCTGATCTCTTCACATGCTAATCTTCACTGAGCATGTGCAGTTAATCAACTGGTTTATTCAGAAAGCTCTGACTCAGACCAGAAGTCACCTGAGGATATCTGAAAGAAGACTTTTTTAAATTGGGATTTAAACATAAACTATCACATATTATCAGATTTTTGTAAATTTATATAAATTTTAATGGAGGAATTGATCTCTGCATTTAACCCATCTCCTTGTGGGAGCAGTGGCCACTGTGTGGCATCAGGGGAGCAGAGTGGGGGTTAAGGGTCTTTGCTCAGGGAGCCAAAGTGGCAGTCTTTGGGAGTGGGGCTTGAAATCACAACTTCTAGATCCCAAGTGCAATGCCTTAACCACTAGGACGCCAATCCCCATAATTGTATTTTTTCACAATAGCGCTAAACTTTGAAAACATGTATTAGACACAAATATCATTATCAGTTTTTCGAATTATTTTAAGAGAAACTGCAATGCTATGAAAGCTTAATTTTTAAGACATTAAGAAAGTCAATTATTTTTAGCAGCTTTGCTTAAAAAAAATTTTTTTTTTTTCAAAAGTTATGGTTAATTCACTATCTTAGTAAGTAAAATATAAAGATTAATCTGCACCAAAATAGATTGAATGAAAACATTTATTTGAGGCAACTTTAGCTATAAGTTAATTAATTAGAATAATTAAACTAGCAGCCTCTGACAAGTACTGCCTTCTGCTGGTCAGAGTGGAAACTACAACCATCTTGTTACAAAACACAGCTGCATTAGTACTGTAGATGGGGCTGCTCTAAATCCTGCTCATAGAGCACTAAAATTTAACTTGTGGGAACTTGAATGTTTTTACAGCTTTCTTAGACAGCTGTGAGGGATTTAATGAGCTATTCACAGTTTTCCTGTTATGTCTGTGTAGGTAATTTTAGTTCCTAAGACAATCCTACAGGAAGTTTCTCATTAGAAACAGTAGTAATGTAAATAATCAGAGGTGATGGGATTAAGTCTTGATGTTTTATACAATCAGATAATTAAAGCATTTTATTGTTATAGATAAAATTAGATTGTTTTTTTTTTAAGGTTTGACTTCTTAATCAGTTTCACTGTTAACAAAGGTTAGTCTCCTGTCCCGATTGAGAATTAAATAAAATTTATAGATAACAAGATTTTAATGAAACATTTCTGGAAGCGTTGCGATCAAAGTCCTCCATGAGGCGGAAAGCTGCAGAAAACAGGTTAAAAATCAGATACAGTTGCTTTGTTCATGAATCAAATTCATGTTTTCTTGATGTTTAAAGCAGAAAAGACAACATTTTAAACTTAATGAGTTGGATCTTTAATAAATGTTAGTCCTGATTAAGTAAAAAATTTAATTAAGAAAAATATTGTTAACTGCTTTCTATGAGCTACAATAAGATTATAAACTGTAGGGGCTGGGAAAAGAGGAAGGCAGGAGGGCTTCTAGAAATAAAGCAGTATAAAATGTAAATCTGGATATAGCTCAGGCTCTTTTTCTATTTTAATGTAAGCTTTTATAAACATTTTGTTACATGCAATCTCATGCGTTTTTCTGAATTATCTATGAACATACTCCAAACACTGCTGCAAAATGTCTTAAATATTGTGAACTCTATGCTGCAGTTTTGATATCAGACTGCACAATGTGTTCTCATCTGCACAGAGAGCATAATTTGTTTTCATTTCTTTCCCTTAGTAGACTTTATATTTTAAAGTGTGCTTGACTGCATTAAACGGTAATATGATGTGTCGGAGTAAAATACTCTTGCAGATATATGTCCTGATTAATTATGTCAACTCTAAAAAATAGATATTTGTCAAAAAACTAAACATTCCACGTATGATATACATTAAACCCTGAATTATCCCAGATAACAGACACTCTTCCTGTGTTTCTAATTATGAAGCTCATCATGTAAAAGCAGGAGGACTGAGGCTGTGATTTCACAAATGTGGAGAATAGACTTAGACCCATAACTGAATTACCCTGTCACTGTCTTTAAAAAGGAATGTGTTCAATATAGAAACAGTTATCAAGAGCAGAATCCTCTATCTGCATTTCTACAGAAACCTAGATATGGTTGATATACGCCATTTTATTTATGCAGCTTTAAGTGGCGGATAAGGTGATGTAGGAGGTTATTTATGAATTCTATTGGAGAAGCTGTCAGGATTAGGTTGTGATGTCAGGACCCAAATGCAGAGACAGGGAGGCAGAGGTGGTTTTCTTGATGATTTAATGAAGTGTTTTCAAACAACTGAGGCAGGATTCCAAAAATCCAAAAATAAATCCGACAAGAAAAAAGTTAAACCAACCAGAAAACATGGAGACTTCAGGGGGAAAACTATCACGAGGAGAAAGACTCAGAGAGATGAAATTGGAGGAAGTTTGATGAGAAATAAGCGCTGAGGAACTGAACAGAGAGTATTTATGGGAGACTAAAACAAAAAGAGGACTAATGAGCAGATTGGAAGCAGGTGTGGATAGAGCAGACAGGAAAAGTAGCTAGGAAAGAGGAGAACACCAGAGGGCAGCAGAGGGCAACAAATAAAAACCTGAAAACTGAAGAATAACCAGAGAAGACAAAAAAAATCAAACCACTAAAACTAGAAAACATAGAGCAAAGTAAAACAGAGGACTCAAAAGAAAACATAACAGAACCAAAACTGTGACAGAAACTAGAATTAAACCTAATTGAAGGAAGGAATAATTATTCAAAGGTCATCCACTAGTGATCTTTTTTTAGTTTAAGTCAGTTTTTTACTTTAAGTTAGTTTTAATAACTAATTAATTACTGATATAAAATAAAACAGAAGAAATGTTAAAATTGAGCCATTTTTTCTAGATTATTTGCTCTGTTGTTTAGTTTGCCATCCAGGAAGCTGCTCACCGTTGGAAAGAACTGATTTTCTAAATTAAAAAGACTAACTGTGAGAGGACCAATTGGCCAAGCTTGGTTATCGTGAAAGTGTTGGTCTTAGTTTATAACCTAAATTTCTGACATCGGGGAATTATTCCTGTGGGTTAATCTGAAATTATTACCATTATGTTTTTGGTAAGATCTCCATAAACAACAGGCTGGTAACTGAGCTTTGCGCTTTCACTAGCTGAGCTTATTAGGTCTCCTTACAACCCTATCAGCAAGAGCTCCTGTAGACTGAATGTTTAAGGAAAAAATACCTAGTTGTGGACTTCATGAGATCTGAAATGAAAAACAGCTGCAGAAGTTTGGTTTTCAATGGACAGAACATTGAGAAAGTGTAAACTGCTTGGTCATGGAGCTGCAGTTTGTTTAACTTTGATTTGATTTTGGGTTTCATGATGCAGTTTTTCTCAGAAAAAATGATAAAATCTGAGTTTTATTTAGTAGGGAGGGAATCTATCCCTTAAAGGGATGTTTGCTGAATAAATTCAGTGAAAGCTCATCCTGATTTCAGCTGCAGCCACTTCCTCCCTGCAGGACGGAGAGATGGACTGTCAGGCTGTCCACAGTCTCTGTTAATGATCAGCCAGCAGACCTTGACCTCCTCACTGCTCATATCTGCCGCACAGATTAGGAAAACAAGGCGAGGAGCCGCAGATCTGTAAGGACATAATGTCTCAGCAGTGACATGAGTTGATCCAACAGAGGCTGAAACAGAGATGACACCTAAAAAATATCTTCAAGCTAAACCACAGAAATAAACAGGGAATTTGAAAGAAATTAAATTAAGTTTATTCCTAATCAAATCTGGGGGGAAATCTATTAAAAATAAAAAAGCTAAAATAATTTTTGTTGCATAATAGGAAATTGCCTTAAACTAAAGCTAAACTTTAGACCCTTTGAAGTAAATTCACATTTATTCTTTGTTAAAGCAAATCTATCATCATCCCATATTTATAATTTTAAAAAATTGCTATATCCCTTAGATTGAGAGAACCTATCTGGTCCATGGCCCTTTTCAGAAAACCTCCTCCAAGTTAGTTGGACCTCAGTTATTCAAAATGCTTTATTCACATCTGATTTTGATATCTAATAGATCAAAAGAGATTAAAAACTTAAACTACCAGCAGATACCTTTTGGCTTTGGAACAGAATAGCCTTACTTTATTGATCTTTATGAAACTAACCACACATATTTCACAATGGTTTTTCTGGTATTTTTGTTGTTTTCTGCTAAACATACCAAAAAAGCTTCAGTTTAGTTTAATCAGTCTAAATTCCATTGCAACCTTTTGGGAGATTTTAGCCTTTCTTGGATGTTTTTTCAAAAGTTCAATCCTCTTAGCAGCTCAACAGATGCTGCTGTTTGCCTCTTTAACTGGTTTTGGGTCTTTTCATCTGTGCAGGAGAAACATTCAGTTTAACTAAGTCACAGATATCATTATAACCTTTGTACAGTTTTTGTACCATCTTGAACCCTCTCTACAAAGTACTACTCTCTGTAACAGGAAAGTTGGAATTCCTTAAGATGATAAAGATTTCTTAATTGTATTAAACATTGCTTCATAAGTTAGCAGGTGTGCACTGAAGAACCATTTATTCAGAAAACGAAAAAAAATGTGTCTCTCCAAAGTTTTTTTTTTTTTTATATATTACATCATTGAACAGATATAGATATATCTTTTCTGGCCAGAAATTTTTTTTTTTTTTCTAGGGAGCTGCCTGTAGCTTTCATCTGTAATTTAATGACTTAACCACAAACATGCAGCTTGTAGGGTTTAGTCCAAAGCCTACCGAGGTGAGGTACAAATGATGAAATTAGGGATACACAGTGATCTCAAAACAGGAGCAAAACACAATATCAGATACATCATCACAAACAGTTTGACCTTCTATAATTACCTACAGCCCATGCAGACTGTTATTCATCTTCAGAACATTAGAAGTAGTTTTACACCGATACCAGTATCGGGCCGAGCCCCGATCCAACACTAAAATGGTGGTATCGATATCAGTGAGTACCAACAAATAGGGCATTGATACCATTTTGAGAGCCAAAAGTTTATTCAACTATTGTCACCCATTCCAGGTAGGCAATACAAAGTTCTACTGGATTCACTTTGTATTAGTCTTTTTCCTGCTTCACAAAGGTAGGCAGCAGCTTGACAAAGCCATGATGGCAATTATTTTACATCCAAGTAGTATACAGTTCCTTATATACAGACACATCAATTTCAAACAGATGGTATCGTTATGGTATTGGCATGTGCCAATCCTGCACAGCTAGGTATCACGTTTCGGTATTGGGGCCGAAAAAATTAAATTGGCACAACACTAATCATAAGTAAAATATGCTATGTCTATTTTTTACAGTGAGCTCCCCTAATTTCCCTGATTCACAATCTGCTGTTAATCACACCCAATGGAATCCAATCAGAAGGGAAGTGGGGACGGGCTGGCGGGGACACAGAAAGAAGTAGCTCTAAGAGCACTTACCCAAAGGACCGGATACCAGCTGAGACAGGTGGGGACAGAACTATGCACTGCAAAAACAATCCAGAAATAAGTAAAAAATGGCTTAAATTAAGTATATTTAGCCTTAATTTGAGCAGGTAAATAAGATGATTTGCCAATGGAATGAGTATTTTCACTCTTAAAATAAGATAGTTAGATAATATTTACTTGAAATAAGACGATAAAATAGTTTTTTCTTATTTTAAAAGGAAATTGTCTTGTTCCATTGGCAAAGTGTCTTACTTACCTCCTCAAATCAAGGAAAAACACACTTATTTTAAGAAAAAATAACTTATTGAGATTTATATTTTTTGCAGTGTGGAAAAAACATCTTTCTCCATGCTGCTGCTCCTAACCTGGTTTTCTGTTTTTAAGGAGAACGGCCAGCGGCGGTATGGTGGTCCACCACCTGACTGGGATGGGCCACCTCCTGAGAGAGGCAGTGAGATATTTGTGGGAAAACTCCCAAGAGACCTCTTTGAAGATGAACTGGTTCCGTTGTGTGAGAAGGTGAGACATGGAGGACTACAGTTGGGAATATCTCCTTATGATCCTATTTTCTAATGTTCTTGCATTCCCTGACCCTGGCATCAGTTTGGAAAGATCTATGAGGTGAGGATGATGATGGACTTCAACGGGAACAACAGAGGTTACGCCTTTGTCACCTTCAGCAACAAACAGGAAGCCAGGACAGCCATGAAGCAGCTTAACAACTATGAGATCAGGTCAGACGATTCTCTACTTACAACAACAGCTTTTAATACTGTCAGGAATCTGATCTGTCCCAAAAGTAATAACTGATATAATGATGCAACCCTTATTTAACCCTAACCCTTACCCTGACCTGAACCAAACATCTAGCATCCCAATAATTACCAATGAGCATGTCAGAAACAAGTTAAACACTGCTATCTATTGACTGAACACATAAGCAACTCTACATTTTGATTAAAAGAACCAATACAAATTCAGGTTCATTAGATATGCGGGATAGTTTCATAAGCAATGATGAGCAGTATAATTAAGAGACTTAATGTCTGAATTACCTTTATCTGTAGCCAGCTGCTTGTTTTACAAATTAATTGGGTTGTTATTTGCAAAGACCAATATATTGCTTTAATCTGACATTGTATAGGATTTTTTTCCTTTATGTCTCCCAGGAACGGGCGCCTCCTCGGTGTCTGTGCGAGTGTGGATAACTGCCGTCTGTTTGTCGGAGGGATTCCTAAAACAAAGAAGCGTGATGAGATCCTGACGGAGATGCGGAAGGTCACCGATGGAGTTGTGGATGTTATCGTGTATCCAAGCGCTGCAGACAAATCCAAGAACAGAGGTTTCGCCTTTGTAGAGTATGAGAGTCACCGAGCAGCCGCCATGGCCCGACGCAAGCTCCTGCCAGGTAGAGCCTGAACTATGTAGATACAGAAAATGCTCTATGTTTAACCTCTAAATTACATTTTTTATCCTAAAAAAACCCAGCTGTCTTTCCCTTCATGAGACTATGAATATGTAAATGGATATCATAGCCATATAGAGAAAAAATCACTAGCAAAGCCAAAAACAAACCTTAATATTATCGATACATCATAAAAACAGTCAAAGTCTCCACTTGTCCAAGCATCAGCCAGTCAAAGTCAATGTTACTGCTGATGGGTCTTGTGATATGATAGCAGATACCTGAGATACCATGCTTGAATCAGAACCTTTATTGTTTCTGTATGATCTTAGATACACCTGTCTTCAGATGTGTCTATAGTTACAGTCAGTTGGAAAGTGTCTTGATACAGTCATTCATACCTTCTACACAACAGTAAACTATGGCTGTTTTGTTTCCTGGTTTAGGAAATGCATTTTGACCACACCTGGTCAAATGTTAGTTTTTGTCTGAAAAAATTCCAGCAGCTAAATGTTCTTAAGTGATGGTATTACTGAACAATACATTAGTAAATGGAACAATTCTGCACCTGCAGTGATGAGGGTGCTGCTTTTGTCTCTCGGGGAAGAATGAATGAAGAACAGCTTCATAGAAGTTCCAGTCCTCTCCCATGTGGTTTTAAGATTCGCATCCCAGTAGACTAGAAAGAGATAATGAAGAGAATTATTTATCTGCTAGTGGGGCTTGGGGTATATTCCATCCTCTTCCACATCAAGATGATTTAACTTAGCTGGTGCATTTGATGAGCAGGAGATCCAGAGCATGTTGAAAGCAATGATTCCTAGATACACAGCTGGATGGATGGATGGATGGATGGATGGATGGATGGATGGATGGATGGATGGATGGATGGATGGATGGATGGATGGATGGATGGATGGATGGATGGATGGATGGATGGATGGATGGATGGATGGATGGATGGATAAAACCACTTCATTTCATTCTGTGGTAGTTCCTGCACTGATGGCTTCATGGGTGAACCCTCCTTCAGCCATCAACCAACTATACACAATGCAGGAAATTTTCAACCTACTGAAGAAGCTTGAAATAGGATGAAGCACCATGAAAAACCTTCAAAACAGTTCATTGTTTCACACAGTATGCAGGGAGTACCAACCCTGCCTTCACTATATGTTGCTGAAGGTGTAATTGTCAAAAATGTAGATATTTTGACGCTTGCTTATGCATCCTCTTTTCTTATATTACCGTGAGCAGCAACTCATATGGTCCATATTGACATCCAGTATTGATCACACTAACATCCAGTATTGTGCAGACGCAGGTTTCAAATCTCAACCTCTTTTCCTCAAGCAGCTCTTTAGGGTCTCATTAGTTCCTGCTACTTTTTAACATCTTCTGTTTGCAGATCATACTCTTTGGTCCAGCGGTAAATGTTATCTATTTCAGAAACCTGAACAACAATTGTGATCAAACACTTGTGCAGAAAGATTAAAGGCATGTGTCCTTTGTCTCAGGTCGGATTCAGCTTTGGGGTCATCCTATTGCAGTGGACTGGGCAGAGCCTGAGGTAGAGGTTGATGAGGATACCATGGCAACTGTTAAGATTCTGTATGTGCGGAACCTAATGCTGCAAACCACAGAGGAGACCATAGAGAAGGAGTTTAACAGCTTGAAACCAGGTAAGACAAGGATTGATGGAAACTCTCATCTCACATTGTCCTTAAATGCAGCAACAGCAGAGAAAATCACCCTAAATTTTCTAACATAGCCCCAGAAAAGTCAGTAAAAACCTTACATAGAAAGACAATGTGTCTTGAATACAAAATTAGGAATATGGGTGGGCAATATAGACTTAAGATCTCATCACAATATGCTGTGTAGGTACCATGACAACAACAAAACTGATCACAAAAACTTAATTATTACTTATTTTCTGTATTTTATAGGTAGTTGTATGACACATTGTATGAGTACATGCACAGAAATTATATCTCGACGATCACAAATACTGCCCTGGTAAAATATAGCCATTAAAAATTTCCTTCTTCAGGCAACTATTTATACAAAGAAGAATTATTTTAATAATCTGCACAAAGATACAGCATTTCCTATTTTTCTTTTAATTTAATAGTGATCCGTTTAATAAAACAATGAAAAAATTACATTTGGCATTTTTATGAGTTTTAATGTATCATCCATCCTAATGTACTTTTAGATGATCAATTCAACTTTTTTTCATGACGGCAAGTTTATCAGGATAATGACAAACAATAATATAAATAATAATATAATTATGTTCATCCGTAATCAGAAAATGAAACATTTCATTCATGTACAGTATTTGAATTTTTCAAATTCCAACTAAATGATAGAAAACTGCAAACAATCCTGATCACAAACCTATTTTAGAAACTGACTCATCCGGAGCTAAAGCTTTATTAAAAGAGCATTAAATTAAACTATAAGTTAGCCATACTTAACTAATATTCAGGAAAAACACTGAAAACTCTCCAAAACACAATGTAACTTCCATTAAAGTCATACATAGTGTTCAGATCAGCGAAAAAGAAAGAAGAAAATGTGTTATCCTGTTCAAAAAGTCCTTCAGACAATTATCAAAAGAGTAAAACTATGTCTTTGATGTATTTGTGTGTCATTATGTTATAAATGTTTTGAATATTTGAAGCTTTAGTAAGCTATAAATTATCAAAGTAGATGCCAGTAAAGGTCATGTATGATGTTGCAGGTGCAGTGGAGCGAGTGAAGAAGATCAGAGACTATGCCTTTGTACATTTCAGTCAGAGAGAAGACGCTATTAACGCGATGAACGCTCTCAATGGAAAGGTCAGCTCTGAGTCTCTGTCTACCATTCCTCTGTGGTTTCAAACAGAAACAAGATATGATTTCATCCTTAAAATAAAATAGCAGTAACTTAACCAACGTTAAGTGTGACCTTCCACTCTGTTATGTACATAAAAAAAAAAATCAGATGGAAATGGTTCCACTCCAATATGTTGAGGAAAACCAATGCAAGCCTTTTTTTTTTTTTTTTTCCCTCAGCTTAACTCGCAAACGACTTGTCTAAATAAACTTCTGTGTTGGTAGAAATTTTTGGGGCTAACATTATTTTCTTTCAGAGTCAACATGGCGGTAAACTCCTCCATTCTCTCCTTGCCTGCAGGTGGTGGACGGCTCTCCTATCGAGGTGACTTTGGCCAAGCCAGTGGATAAGGACAGCTATGTTCGGTACACCAGAGGAACCGGAGGAAGAGGAGGCTCGGTTTTGCAGACTGACTACACAGCTTATACTTTGGGACAGGTAGAACTGGAGGGTCCAGAAACATCACAAATATAAGTTGATTTCAGGAATTTGGGTTTTCATTTCTCTAATATTAAACAATTTATAGTTTAGTGCTAAAGGTTTAAAACATTTCAGATGATGCTCATGCAAACATAACATTTCTGCCAATACTGGGTCCTTACCTTAAAGGTATAGGGGAGGATGTTCTTTTTATGGGTGGATCATCAAAATAAGTTGTCCTACTAATTGTCAATCATTCTGGCACGTAACATGGCCGTTTACATATGGCCGTCATACGGGCTCGTCCCCATTTTCACTTCGCCTATGTCTTACATAGTGGAAAAATTACAAATCTTCTTTTGGAAAGTAAGCTTGTATGAGCAATGCAAACAGCAACTTTTAAACAGAGCGTGCACGAGGGGAAATGGGCTTGATCATGCTGTTGCACAAGTTTAATAGGCGTATTCTTTCGGGAGCGGGTACAAGGTTGTGCATGTGCATTTTTTTTTGAGAGGAGAGGGTTGGTCTTTCTCGAAAATCCTTCACGATACCTTTAACTGAATATACATAAAGATAAAGTACATTTATATGAGTTAAGCCATGATCAGAGGTGATTTAAAGCTTTTAAGGGCCTTGATCTGAATTTAAAATTGATAATGCCAAAATTTGCTCAAAGTGTCAGGACATCACCTAGTCAAATCACACCAGTTTTTTCCTCTCTGGTCAAACGACTACAGACATGTGCAAACCTTTGTTGAAGTGTGTCATAATGTTTACCAGCGTTGTCCACGTGGCTTAATCTGATATGCTGTCCAAACTAAGCCAATGACAAAAAAAGTCAGCATAGTTTGTGCATTATCCTCACATCAGATCGTTGAATAACTAAATAGAAACTCTGGTACAAATTTAGGGTAAAATACAAGAATCTTAAAAATATTGATTACCACAGAAAGAAAAAATAACAATTTTGCAATAAAATGGAAACATTTTAATCAACACCTTTTTGGTGATGTTGAAAAAGTTGAAAAAGGAGTAACATGACTCAGAAAGTTATTTTTTCATTAGTCCAAAAGTTTAGGAAATGATTCATTAAAGTGTTTTTAGCTGGAACATTTTTGACATAAAAGTCATAAAATTGACTTTGTTGAACTTAAACCAAAGATAAACAGGAGATAAAGAACTGATAATGGGTTGAACTCTGAGTTTACTGAGGCGCTGTGGTTTGCTGCTTAGCTGCACCATCAACAGAGGTTAATTATAGGATGTCAAATAGCTCCATCCAGGGGCCGGTTATTATCAGTGCCCCAGAGGAAGGTATAAGAGTTTAGACCGGGGGGGTATCTCCAACCCAAAGGGCTAATCTTAAGCTTTACGTATTTGATACTGATGAGGATTGAAGTTCCTGGCTTAGTTAAAGGCAGAACTTGCTAATTTCATCTTTTGAATCAGGGGTATTGGAGCAGGAAATGAGACAGTCTGAACTTTGACCCCTAAGAAAATATAGAAAAATTTAATTTTCCTAATAAAAATAAATTATTACCTGTGATTCAGATGCAGAGATTGCTTCCGTTAAAGTTGATTTTTGTTACAACCCAGAGCCTTTTAAAAATTACTAGGTAATGAGAGTCAATGTCTGACTTTTTTCATTCATGTTATTTATATAGGGCCATTTCACAACACATTTCATCTCAAGGCACTTTACAGTTCACCAGATCATACAGTCAAATTGATTCAAAGTTTTCTATCTACTAAAAACCAGTTGATTGCAACGACTCGTTGACTCGGATGAAATCTCTCACACTAAGCATGCTTGTAGCGACAGTGGAGAGAAAGTGTGAGCGGCCATCTGAAGAGGCCGACTGGGGTTCAAGGAGACAGAAGCAGACATACAAAAAGCAGCTGTAAAAGGCGGCCCCGTCCAGGAAACACACAGCCAGGCAGACAAGCTCCGAGCCAGCTCCCTCTTTAAATTTTTGAGATATTACTAGACTGAGGCTACATATTTTAAAACACTTTTAGATAGACAAAACTTCATTCAATTTATAAAAAAACAAAACAAATGTATTTTAATGCCTTCTTGCCAACTTAGATCAAGACTAACATGACATGTACAGTATGTCAGCGGATCAAACCTTGAGAGAATTGTCTTGCACTGATCAGTTTTAACATGTAATACGCTTTTATCCATTAAATGAAATCAAATTGAGTTCTTAATGAAATTGTGTAAGCTGTAAGATTTATTGAGACATAATATGTTTTTTGACTTCTTAACAGTTGTGATAACACGCATAAAAGTGACAATTTTTCCACATACCTGTTTATATTTGGCCGAGAAATATGCTTGGAAAGCGTTATTTGCAGACAGCATTGCTAATAGGACATATAGCTGGAGTACAATTGACTGGCAAATTGAGCTATTTCATAGCTTGGGATTCAGAAAACTTGCTGAGTTATAATTAAAGGAATAGTACACCCAAAACATGATTAGCCTTCATTTTCTACTCACCCCCATGCTGAACAACACTCTGGAGTACTTTTTTGATTTCTCAAATGCATCTGGAGATCTGGGAGGCTTCTTGCTGTCTGCTGACATTCAAATAATGGAGGTCTATGGTGCCCGAGACAGAAAGGTCCATAAAAGTCCACAAAAAACGTGTCAATATTCCTCCATACTGCTCGTCCAATGTATTCCAAGTGTCCTGAGTGGGTAGCATCCAGAATTTACTCGAAACGAAGTCATTTAGAATGTTTTTAGAGCATAAACAGTAGTGTATAGGACTTCCTGAAAGCGCGCACATGCGCGTTCACGACGCTACGGAAGCCGGCAGACCAGACCAGCGCATTCAGCTCGGCAAAGAACTCATGCTCTTCCTCAACACTGAAGTCCTCAGACATTTTTCTTTCGTTGTTTCTTTCTTTGCACAGGTAAACGGCACATTTCTTCTTCTATGCTTGCATTATTGGCAGAGCAGACGCTGAATGCGCAATTTCATCTGGGTTGGTCGCCGGCTTCTGTAGCGTCGTGAACGCGCATGTGCGCGCTTTCAGGAAATCCTATACACTACTGTTTATGCTCTAAAAACATTCTAAATGACTTTGTTTCGAGTAAATTCTGGATGCTACCGACTCAGGAGACTTGGAATACATTGGACGAGCAGTATGGAGGAATTGACACGTTTTTTGTGGACTTTTATGGACCTTTCTGTCTCGGGCACAATAGACCTCCATTATTTGAATGTCAGCAGACAGCAAGAAGCCTCCCAGATCTCCAGATGCATTTGAGAAATCAAAAAAGTACTCCAGAGTGTTGTTCAGCATGGGGGTGAGTAGAAAATGAAGGCTAATCATGTTTTGGGTGTACTATTCCTTTAAGAATGTTAACATGAAGCTATAAAAGGCAGCTGAGAGAAGTCAGAAACTTTTACATTAATACACAAGGCAACCTTTCTTCTTGTTCTTCCCCTCCTTCTTCTCCTAACGCAGGTGTATGACCCTACAGCGGCGTATCTTGGGGCTCCTGTGTTTTATGCCCCCCAAACCTACGCTGCCATTCCTGGTCAATTCCGCTTCCCAGCAGCCAAAGCTCATGTAGGAGGTAGAGGACTGATTAGAACGCCTTCGGTCAGAGGTAAGAACAGTTTGTCTTAGGACAATCTGGATTATGTGATGGAAGCAGATCTGCTGTCAGAGTTGAATTTGACTGCAGAGGCTGTTTAATCTGATGGTGAAGCTCCTCCCCTCAGCACAGACTGACCAGTCACTCCTTAGCTGCTGTCCTAGAAAATCAGGATCGTACACTGGCATAAAGTTGGCTTTGAGCTGTACATCTGGCAGATGTGACACTGAGCGGTGGATCTTCCTAAATCATCTGGACATAATGAACGTGGTTTAAAAATCAGAATACTTTATGGTAGGAATCATGTGAGATATTTTAAATCAGCTGAAGTTTGGTCATAAATTCACCTGAAAAATGAGAAATCACTCAGGTGTTGTTGTTGTTGTCAGTGATTTGATAATTGTGTGAAAGTGTGATTCTTCGTCCTTGCTGATTTCCAGTGATTTGATTGATTTACTGCCTCTCCGATCTCCTGTAGAAATTTACATGACTGTACCTGTAGGGGCCGCTGGGGTGCGAGGGCTGGGTGGGCGGGGCTACCTGGCCTATGCAGCTGGGGCTGGAGCCATGGGACGAGGGGGTGGAAGCAGTGCCTCCTATGGTATGAAGGGGGACAAACAGGCTGAAGAAAAGCTATATGACCTGCTGCCAGGGATGGAGCTGACACCGATGAATCCTGCTGCCATGAGCCTGAAGGCCAGCAGCATCAAGCCACCGACGCAGGTGATGGGAAACACACAAGCAACATGACATATTTTTAGTTTTTTAAATTCCCATAGTGAACGCTTCCACCTCTTTGTACTCCTGTCAGGTTTTGGAGGAGCTGTGTCAGAAGAATAACTGGGGTCAGCCGGTCTATCAACTCCATTCGGCCATCAGTCCAGACCAACGACAGCTCTTCCTCTACAAGATCACCATCCCAGCTCTCGCCAATCAGTACCCCAACGTGTGAGTACATGGAGCTTATTCTTCCTTATATTGCAGCAGACTGGTGCTCCAGTTACTAAAGCTACAAGGTAGAAATTGATAACTGAGGGAAGAACCTCAATGTTTCTCTCATTGGTTGACTGAAGCTTACTATTGCCTCTGACAATGAGAGCTGAAGGTGTAAGGAGACCCTTACCTCTTGGACTCCTACAATGGCAACCTCAGTTACCTTCAGTGGTTAAAGAAGGAAATAGCATAGGCTGAATTTCCCCGGCCTTGGAGAACATCTTTCAGCTGGACTGTAGGAAGTTCTGGGAGACTGTTAAACAAATCAAAAAGGAGAAGTAGGCTCCATTAAACACACTTGTGTGGTTTGGAAGAGAACAACCGATCCAGATCGATCGAATAAGAGTTATTTTAAATGATTCCTCAGGCCAATATACAGCGTTTGACACTATCAATGCTACGAGCGGGTCTCTCCTCTTTAAATACACATTATGTAAGTTGGGAGATGACGCACCATTGTTGGCCAGGTCATAATTATCTCCTTTTTGAACGTAAGGTCTGAGGACTCAGTAGGAGACGATTTCTTCAAAATGACCGAAATCATTGTAGGAGAAATCCTTTCCAGTAGTGGGGACATTACTTTTTAAGACTGAAAGCAGAACCAGAATTTTCATTAAACAGCAGAGAAATACTAGCCTGACGTAGTCCTACTCAATTCTAGTCAGAATATGAGTCTGATACTGCTCCATAGAGCTGTGATTATGGGGCGTGTTTCGAACGAACCAGGAAAAAAAATGCCTCTGCACTCAATTGGATAGACCTACAACCAATAAGAGCAACGGAGTGCGTGACGTATGTTAAGCGACGCATAGTTGTTAACAAAAATCAAAGTGTGCAGTTGCACGCCTAGAATAAGAAGATGAGCCTTGATCGCGTTTCTCTGTTCCTCTTTTAAAATTAATTTGCTGTCAATATCTTCTAGAACAGACCTAATAGCAGAATCTACACACCTCAACTCTCCAGTGGCAGTCATTGTTGTTGTCACCCAAGCGCGCTTGGGTGATGTGGTTGATTACATTACTGTTGATCATCTGTCCATCATCGTATAAAGATGATGGACAGATGATGGATGATTGGCCCGCCAGATATTGTGCGCGCATACTCGCGCTACTGTTGAGCAATGCCAGACCGAACTTCCCGACCTCAAACATTGTGGGCGGGACTAAGTTCGGAATGGCACCCAGGCTAGAGAAATAGGGTTGCAGACTAATTTATATTAATAAACTTTTTCAAGTTTACCGCATTCTAGGCTTTTTGAAATGATGATCCAAGACAAACATTGTGACTCTTACCTAGGTCAGATTTCTCAACTAGTGAGAGGATCATGGAAATTTGTATCACCACTCTATGTGTTTTGTGGGCCTGGAGAATTAAAGGCTCAATTATGGTTACGTTTCAGGGTGTCACATAGGAATCTGCTGAGGGGACATGAGTAAGAACAGGTGCTGATGGTGTTTGTATTTGAAGCTGACACTTGTACCATATTCTATAGAGAAGAACAACACCAAAAAAGTTTTTTATAACAACTTAATTCTGTTTATTGCAAAGTTCCATACAGTACTCACAGGAGGAAATGAAGAGGAAACCTCTTTTTGAACTCTTGACTTAAAGGACTCTAAATAAAACAAAAAATTAAGTTTTAAATATAATTTAAACTATCTCAGTATGTAATTGCATTATGTTACTCTGACTGTTTGTTTTTTTGACAGTTTTGTTGTCTGCCTTTTTATCTTGAAGAAGTGATTTATTTGTGTATGATAGGTTTGCATGTTGGTTGCATTTTTTTTTTTTTTTTTTTTTGCAGGATTATGAAATTATTTCGGTAACTTTAGGCAATTACCTTTAAAGAGCAAATTACAACCGAAAGAGAAAGGCAGATACATTTACAGAGTCAACTTCTATGAATGCAAGACTATTATTTTAAGCCAGCAATGTCTTGATTCTTGTCTTGGGTTGGTTTTTGCCACAAGCAAAGAACAAGAAAAAAAAACTGGTGAATTGTAGTTTAAAAATTTAATTGTTTAAAAGCGAATAGAGCTGCCACTGACTTTGGAGTTCTGATGCATAGTTTTAGCTTCTGTGTCATAAACCAATGAGTCATATTCAAAAATGATTTCAAATAATAATAAAAAAAGAGATAAAAATTTAAGATTACAGAATTACAGAGAAATCAAGAACCAAACAAGTGTCATCATATTATTTTCAATATGACTATAACCTGGACAAATAATTAAATATGAAAAATATGAAAATTAGCATGTTCATTGAAATAGAAATACATACATATTAGTTGAAATTAGTATTTTTTGAATAGCATGCAAAACCTTGTTATAGGACCTTAAGTGTGAATAGTATAGCAGTAAAATTAAAATACCAATACTTTATTTGGATTGTAGTTCATGGTATCATGAACTGGCCCTTTTACTTATAAATCTTGTAATTTTACTGTTATCTTTTTGTAGACATCCCTTCACTCCTGCCAAACTGTGCGTGTCAGTGGAAGAAGCCAAGGTCCATGCAGCTGAACATACCCTGCAGACACTCGGCCTGCAGACAGAGGGCGCTGCTGATGCCAGCTGTGCTACTGCAGCTGCTGTGGCCTCAGTAGCCTTCCCAGGTATGTGAAGGTCCGTACCCAAGTCCAACTAACTTTTCACTCACTAAAGCACCAACAGAATCTATGTGAAGATCAGAATGAACCAGAACCGGTTCACATTTGTGATTTATGAAAGTTTTGTTTTAGTTTTTCTAAATCAGAAGGATTTTTCTATTAGATGTCTTTTCTTTTGTTTTTTTCTCTAGGCTACGCACTGGCGAGCCCTGCATCCTCAGGAGTCGCCTCCCAGCTAAAGCAGGCTGTCTCTCTTGGACAAGATCTAACTGCCTACACAACGTACGAGGGCTATCCTGCATTTGCCTTGGCAGCTCGCCACACTGATGGATATGGTGTTTTCTAAAGCAGCCTTTTCGAGGGAAGTTAAATTGCATTTATACCACAATGCTTTCCTTACTACAAAATTTGATTCAGTTTAGAAAAAGCAAACTCTGTGACCTGGCAGGTGGTCAGATTTTTTTTTGGCTCTTAGTTAATAGCAGGTTTCAAGTAAACTGGTGCAAACGTAGTATTTAGCTGTTGTGTTTAGGTTATACAGGGAGAACAAACTCTGTTGAGTTTAGTTTAAAGCTGTTATAGCTGCTGCTGAAAACCAGTGGGACTCGTCAGGGGCCCAGAAACAAACTCTTAATCTTTGACATTTTATCTTTCACCTTCTCTCCTTTTTTTTTTGCTCCTATTCAATTAGAATTATTAATTGTCAACATTTTGGTCCAAGGTTCTAAAAACTGCCTCTGATTGGCTGATTCCCTTATTCTGGTTAGATGTTTACAGTATGACTTATCTCTAACCAAGATATGTACTTTTAACGTGTCCTATACTGATGATTTCAATCACAATTGGGATGTTAGCTATTCTTCAAACCTTTTAATCATATATTTTGTTTTTTGATAGAATTAAGAAAATAAAGACATTAGGCGGATGAAACGGTAAACTTTAAAGGATGCCAAAGTCCTCTTTATAACATATGTAATGAAAATTTCTTCTTATTTTTATTTTCCATCTCTGTAAAACTGAGAGCAGTTTTTATTTGAAATTGAAGCCATTTGAGTAATGAAGTACCAAAAAAAATATTTGGCAGGGCTTAAGGGTTGTAAAAAAATTGTATACAAAGTTTCCTGTTTTATACAAGTTCATATGAGCTTTTTAAAAGCATAGTTTTCATTTGTATTATCTGTGGTTCAGTAGGATTGTTTCTCTAGGGCGTAAAAACGCTCAGAAACATTGTACGAATGACGTTTGCTGTCTTATTGCTGATACTTTTCTGTTTGTTATCAGTGTTCTTATGTTCTCACTGAATGTTTTTTTATTTTCTTTTGTAAGTCTGTTGCATTAGTTAAAACGCACCTCCTTTCTATCCTACAATCCAAGGTGTTATCTTTATTTGAGATTTGCAACCTGGTTCAATAACTAGAGTGAGGTTATAGGTCGAATGGTAAGGTGTCAGGCTTAAATAATGCTCCAGGGAATCCTGATTGGTATTTGGACAAAAGCAGCTGCTGACAGCAGCAATAACATTTGGTTTAACTTTTGCTTCTTTTTTTTGACTGAAGGTTTGTGGATATTTTAGAACAGATGACACATGTTGGCATCCGAGCTGTGAACATGCCGAAGCAGAGACAGTATTAAAGTGTGTGAAGCACTTAGAACTTATTTTTGTACCTGGAATCAGATAAAATATCCAACATATTTGTACAGAGGTATTTTAACTTGTCTTTGCTGCCATAATTGACTTGGCAAGAAAAACGTGATGCTGAATCCGAACCAATCCGTAATAAAAAAAAAAAATTGTGGGCATTCTTGGAAACTTTTGTGATTCATTATCTGTTATTGTGTGTAATCTGAAATGATGAAGTAAAAAATTAACAAACAATTTAATTGTATGGGTTTCATCTTTTACTGTTTAATTGCAGAGTTTTATATCTCATCAAGCTAAGGAAGATTAGGTATTGTGTTTTCTCTAAGGTGGATATAGATGATTGATTTAATTTCAGAGCAATTTATTTTTTGCACCTAGTCTTAAGGCACTTTAAAGAGACAATTGTTTTTAGATCATACAGACAGACTGCAAAAAAAAAACACACACACACAAAAAAAAAACATAAATTGCAGTTTCTGCATCATTTCATAGGTGTAGAATTTGACAGGAAGACTTTACTTGATTTACAAATTGTTTATTATTTAAAAAAATGTTCACTTATGACTTGTGCTTGATATTATGACCAAATTAGAGAATCTGCAATCTCGATAAAAAAAGAGGCAAATTGCACATACCCTGCATTTCCACTATACATACATATACATAAACCAGCTGCAAATACAAAATGTTGCACAAACACATAAACACAAAAATGATGCTAATGTACAAATCGGGTCGGATCTCATCCAAACTCCAAAGTCTTGTCACATTGTTGAATTTAGCCCATGCTATTAAATAGACCGACAATGAGCACCCATCCTCTGCTTTCACTAGGATAGGTGTTAAAACCTGGTAGAGATCATCAAAATACTCCTTCCTCCATGCCACTAAGTTCTCACTCAAGGTCAACAGTTGTCTGTTTTGACTGTTTTTGCCTCAGGAGACCCACAGGCCAACCAGATGTCTACCACAGACCTTATGACCATAGCTAAAGGCAGCTGTATCAACAACAAAGACAGAGAGCACAGGCCACTTAGCCTCTAAGTCCCCAGCCTTTCACAGAAGAGACATTCCAAAACATTTGGCCAAGGGTCAGAAGATGGGACAGTTGTTAACTGACCTCCATAAGAGGGAGTCTTAATGGCAAGAGTCCTTATCATGTTTGAACATAGTGTTCGATATGGACAATACAATAATACCATAGAAGTCCTTAAAGAGACAACACTAGGGTTCTGGGCAAGGGGTCCATTCCTCCTGAATAATGCCCCTCCAGCTTTTACTGTTCTTTCCTAAATCAGAATTGAACTACCTCAGTAGAATGATGGAAATCCCCAAGAGGGGTCTGCATTGCACCACTGCCAGGAATGCAAAGAAAGCTTAATACTCCGTGCCACCAATCAGCCCTTAAGCAAAGACAAAAGTCAGAGCCATCTTCCCTACCTGAAGGTGCAGAAGATCTTTAGGTTACTTTCATAACCCCAGTTCTCTGAGTAGCATGAGTGAGTGTCTTACATTGGGAACGCCTTCAGCGTGACTTCATCAGAAGCTCCTTCTACATTATGCCAGCCAGGATTTGCTGGAAACTAAGCCTGCTATTGTCAGAGAGGGCAGGGTCCCTCCCCCTATATATAGGAATTGACTGCACTGACAGTTATTCAAAACAATAACCTCTTCCTGGCAATGTTACAGCGAGGAGGGTGATTTGGTGAGACACCAAACATGTTACTCAGGGAACAGGGGTTACTTTGCACTGAATGCACCAGTGATGAAGCTGCAACATCAAGTTTGTAGCTGGAAAACAAGCTCCAGGAGAGTAATATCAAATAAGTGTGGTCTGGGATGAAGAAGATCAAAAGCTCCAAGCAGAATCAGGATCATACAAATAGAAGTATGGACAGAGCTGATAAACTGAAAACATTTTTAACAGGTTCAATTGAGGAATAAGCTCAGCATCCTTTGATTCAGTGTATTCTCATTATGAGTTCGTACGAAATCATACGAAAAGTTATGCACCGTAATTTCGTACGTTCTGGACGTTTTTTTCGTTGTATTTCGTAATATTTTTACGTCTTGCCTCGAGACAAGATATCTTGCGCATGTGCATCTTACGCACCATTCAATAACATAGAATTTAACATACAATTAACCCTAAGATAGAAAAAACAGCAAGCAACCTAGTGAGAGACATCAAGAAGTAATTATTGCACTGTTTTTCCCAGTTTTACATCCGACCGCGGATCTGCTTTTTCCGTCTGTCTTGCTGCGCATGCGCACTGATCTGTTTTTTAGAGGAAAAACGTCCAAAAAGTACGAAATACTGTGCATAACTTTTCGTAGGATTTCATACGAACTGATAATGAGAATATGTTGTTCGATTATGGCCAAAGTATAATGGACATTCCACCCTCCTTTGACACAAAGCTCCTCTGTCACACGTCAAATGTTTCATCTTGAAACTTTGCCTTGGACCCTATGGCTTCTATGTGTTTGTTCTTAGGTAATTCTGAAGATGGTTCTGCTCTCTCACCCTTCCACCTGTCTTTCTCCAGAAATCAAGTGAAGATGCAACTGAAGAGACTGAGTAAAGCATCAGGGCTAATGTCAGCCTCAGAGTCCTGAGACCCTGTGCACAGCAGCTCTGTGGGATTCTACAGCATCTCTTCAGTCTTAGCCTTACCCTAGTTCCAGAGTTGTGGAAGACTTTTCTGCCTTGTTCTGGAACTAAAAGAACTCAAACCAACTGCCCTCAATGACTATAGTGCTGTTACCCTGACATCCCACATAATGGACGTCCTGGAGAGAATTCTGTTGGTCCACCTGAGCAAGCAAACAAGTAACAATGAGCACTCTGTGTAGTTTGGTTATCACAGAGGAGTTGGAGTTTAAGATGCCAACATACACCTTTTTGAACAAAATGATTTTGGAGCTGATGGTTGGCTTGATCGCTTATTTCATTCAACTGTCTTGCTCTGTCCTGTTTCTCATCAATGCTCATCTGATCTACCTGCTCCTGCTTCTATTTAAACTCCTTGGTCCAGGCCATCAGTGCCAAATTATTCTTGAGCCTTTGGTGTAGAGGGTTTTCGAGCGTTAATTATAGTGTTCCATTTGCCTGATCCTTACCTGTTTCTGTATTCGGACCTTTGAGCTTGCCTGCCCATTTTTTGATCTGTTTGCCTGACCTGTCTTCAGACTCCTGATGGATTCTACTGAGGACTGAAGGATCTGCCTCTTGACTTTGCCCTGGAGGTTATTGTCTTCCTTTGTTTGTTTGGATCTGATCTCCAAGATTTTGGTTTTGTTCTAGGAACTATTCCTGAATCTCTGTAGATGATTTTATATAAAATTATTTTTCAAAAACTGAAAGAACAACATTGTGAACAGCGGCATAAACCCAGTTCATAAGTCTGTTATACCACAACAGAAAGTCTTCTGCATATATGGGTTAAGACAAACCGTTACAGAGCATTCCTGTCTACAGCTGTCAACATCTACAACAACTTGTTAAAAGGGCCAGATGAGTCATTATGACATTTCATTTTAATTTGATAATTCATTTTTTTTATTTAACTGAATTAAAATCATAAGCTTCCAGAACATCATTTGTGGTAACAGTGTTAAATTGCTGCAACAGTAACTTTTCAATGATCATTGCTGTCTTGCTTTCTACACACCGTGTATACAAATGGAGACATATTTTTTAACCTTTTTGAATCAGTAAAAACATTTAAAAGCTGGAAGAATATGAGACAAGCAAACATTACATTTGCTCCAGTCAGTAGATTGTGAGAGTGGTAAGGGAAAAAAAAACATGCTTTGTGAGCCCTAGTTAATCTTCTTATGTAAGCGCTCATTTAATTCAGTTTGCAGTCTATAATCCTCCATCCGCTGTGTGTTAATCTAGAGGAGAAAATGTGGGAGGCAAAAATTTGTTAGACATCTGCAAATATTCAAAATGTTGAAAAGAAATGGGACACACTGCATTTAATTATCCAAACATGAAGTGGTTTGGCAGCACAATAAGTATCAGACATTTACTGTACATGTTGGTTTTTAGTTTGCTGCCAGAGCAACAGTTATCCTTTCAACTTTAACAAAATAGTGATTTCTTTAAAAATCTTACCTAAATTAAAGAGGGTACATTATACATTCAATAAAAACAGGGAAATTTGAAAAACTAAATGTCCTGATGTAGTCTTCTGTTTTCACAACTTTAGAGCTTTTTGAAACAATAAATAAACCAAACAAAATAAAAGGATAAACTGGGAAAAAAAAGATGTCACCACATCACATTTAGATAAATAATGTAATCTTAACAACCTAACTCTGATTCTCTGAGAGTGAGAAGCCCCTTTTTAGTTCCAGGAATTAACAAATGTCCTTTTTATTTGTTTAATAATATATTTCATAAAGAAAATCAGTTCTCCAATGGAATGCATTTCCTGAATAATCAATTTTCATCCACTAATAGTTGGGAAATGTTCTTATAACCATGATTTGGTGATGGCTTTTCTAGACTGCGCCAAGGATTTGCAACAAATATGCTTCCTGCTTTTGCAGCCTTGCTGAAATTTTCCCAAGACACAACACAGAGGTTAGATCAGCCTATTCAGTAGAACGCTAAAATCATATAAAGATTTTCCTACATTTTCTCCAACTGCCCAATGTTCAGCATGGTTACTTTGTATGTATTTTTGTTCTAAAATATCCTATTTAAGACTGCAAATTTCCTCCAGGTGAATTCTCTCCAAAGGTTTGAACTGGAAGCATTCTTCTCCTCCCTTCAGTTTACACGCATTGTATAAAATGTTACCTTTATCCTTGAATTATTTCAGTTCTGTAAATGTTGCTTCTTTTTTTTTCGGGATTGGGGGGGTGTTCTATATAGTTTCAGTATAAGAAAAATCAAAAAGTCACAAATGTATGAAAGTAAAGTGAAAATTGTTGTTCTTGCCTGGATTTTTCCTCGGATCTGACGGGATAACAACTTTGTCTCTCTCATTGTGCTCATGATGTCATCAAGAACAGAGAGAGAGGGAGGGGGAGAGAGAGAGAGCTTTCAGAATGGTCAACTCTTTCCTCTCTCCTAGTTTTCCTCTCATTTCTCCGAGGATCAGAAGCATGATGGAGCCTCCGCGGAGCCTGAACAGTCCAGATTTGGAGATTAATAGTCTGCAATTGGACAACCACCGAGGTCAGTGCCTGCTAATGCTATTCATGTAAGCCTGATGTGGTGATTTGGAGTGCCCCTGTCAGAAAATATAAACCTTAGGCAAGAAAAATGTGTTTATTAAGTTTATAAAAGCATAATAAATGGTTGTATATTTTTTTATTAACTTTAAAATTATTTTTCAGTCTTTAATGTCAGCTTTTATCCTTTTCTCAACTGACAATCAGTTTTCTACTGCTTTGCAGTGGGATTAAAAACAAACCACAGCTACATATTTGTCTGTTATCTCCTCATTAATAACACTAATAAAGATGCAGCTATAGTGAAGGGCTACAACCACCTCAAACAATTCAACTCATGCAACAGCATACCCATCAATTTGGTCCTGCTGCAAAGGCTCAAAGGCTGCAAATAGCTGAAAAATCCCCTAAGGTCACTGTTAACGGGCAATGAGAACTTTAATACTATTGTCGGGACACATAAGCAAGTAAAGGAGTATGCATGTAAGCCATATAGCCCCCTGCATGTTCCAGTACCGAATCTAACAATCTTCAGTGAGTATAGACCTGTTGCCCTGTTATCCCACACCACAAAGGTTCTAGAGAAACTCTTGTTGGTCCATCTGAGTAAGCAAACAAGAAGTCATCAGGACCCCCCTGTAGTTTGCTTATCGCTGTGGAGTTGGAGTTGAAGATGCCATCACGCCTGCTTTAACAAACCCACTCATTTATACAAGGCAGAGATATTATTTGATAGGGGCAGATTTTAGAACTTTGGGGCCCTCGGCAAAGAGAGGCAGGGGGCCCTCTGAATTAAAAAGACAACGCATAAAACAGACCCATTATACAATACAGAAATTTGAATAGAATAGACATACATTATTTGTTCTAGGTTTTGTCCCTCTCCCCTTGTCCCATTTCTTGTTATTTTCCCCTCTATGTTTTGTACTCAGCAGACCTTTAATGCTGTGTCAAAGCTGATTGATCCTTCCTGTCTTTCCAAAAGGCGTCAGCAAAAGTAAATAACCCGGTCCTTCTTTCCACTGTAGACAAGCCATGATCTGTTCTCCATTTTTCATTTGTATGAAATAACAGCTGCATTAATCATGACAGCAGATGAGGTAGAGGAGAGCAGGAGGCGGGGTTACAGATCTACTGGCTCTAGGGAACAGAGTTTGGTGCTTTTATATGTTGTCGCCAAACTCTCCACTAGCAGAAAAGTCACTAGATTTAGCACTAGGCACTTTTTAGAAATAAAAGTACTGGAGAGGTGTGAAAAGTTGCTAAACATAGCGACAAAAAGCGCTAAGTTGGACCCACTATTCTTCGCACCACTGTTTTCAAATGTTTTGCTGCTGTCTGTTTGGAACTTTCTGAAAATGTGCACCAAATGGACTGATCTAATGTGGTAGACACTGAGCGGAGGTTGGGGATCCTGAGACACGCTTAATATTATAAGCGTTCTGATGGCATTTTAGTAAAAGGATTTTAATCAAAAATATAATTAATGTGCACAAATAATGAAAAGTTGTATTGACTATACATGTACATATAGTTTTATTGGGCCCCCAGGAACTAGCTGGGCCTTAGGCAACTGCCTAGTATTGCCTAATGGTAAATCCCCTCCTGTTATTTGATTTATCCGGTGCATTTAATACAATTCAACCTAAACTACATTGTCAGAAGTTCTGGAGGACTCGGATGAAGTCTTAAATAATCTCCTGGATCAAAGACTACATGACAAACAGACTGAAGGGTCAGCTGTCTTATCAGGTAGTCAGGACCACAGGAGCACCACGGAGAACTGTTCTCTCACTTTTCCTTTTCACTCTGTACACCTCTGACTTTCACTACCAGATAGAAAATTGTCACCTGCAGAAATAGTCAGATGACTCTGGAGTTGTTTGATGTAACAAGCACTAGCTTTGTAATTTTGTTTTATTATTTTTCATTGGATCAAAGTAATTTAGGTGCTGAGAGGGGAAAATTAAATTTTTTTTACGTTGTAGAATTTTCATTTAATTTTAAATGATTATCCTTTACTTCTGCATGCTATTGTAAACAAAAAACACAGGTTCTGCTGGAGCACAGGTGGTATTTCCAGAGAGCCCCTTAGGTTTTTTATGCTCATTGTTAGAGTTTGTAACTTAAATGTTATAAGAATGGGCTAAAACTGATTATTTCCGAAAGTTGTATTTTAGAAACATTCAGGCTGTAAATAAAATCTACTGTAAGAAGAACTGATAGCTGTTAATGTGATGCTGCTTAGTGATAAAATTGAAACTCTGCTTTTTGCAGCTATTGTGGCTCAAGGATAACAAGATATATTGTTTACTTTTGTTAAATGCTTGCAGTATGCTTATCTTTGGACTAGAATTTGAGTAGCATCTCTGACAAAAAAAAAAAAGTGGTAAGTGTAATGATGAATGTTGGGGGGATCAATTTATCCTCTCATCCTCTTGGGACAATAAAAGCAGTTTATTTTTTTCTTTATTTTAGAAACAATCCAAAAATAAAACAAGGATGTATAAGAACAAAAAATGCAACTTCTCCAAACATCAGACCACTGTGCAGTTAAGGTTTTAATATATCATAGCTTTATTTTCCATTTATGGAAGAGGGTTCAGACAGAGAAGTAATAATTTAAGGCACGATCATAATTTTGATAACCTGACTACACTGTTGTACTTTCTCGCTTTGTGGGCTAAGGTAGGGCATAGAGATTGAAATCCTGAGGTTCTGAGTTTGAACCCACTCCCACAGACTGCCACTTTGGGTCTCTGAGCAAGACCCTTAACCCCACACTTGATGTCTAAAGTTGTACATTTGTACAATGCATGGTGTAAATTTTAGTGCTTCCTCATCTTTTTGGAAAGTAGTTGTCAGTTCTCTGGAGTTCTTAGCAATCAGGTAAAATGTTGTAAGTTCTGAGGTATTAAGGTGCATTCACATCGAACGTGACACCTGTAAAACATTTTGCCTATCACCTGCTTTGTCTCACCTTGATATTTGACTGGTCAGCGAAAGAACTTTGGACAGCACCATTTTTTTTTCTTTGGAAAGCCATAGTAACTGTTGGCATGAGTTTAGGACATTTGAGAATGTCTGGTTGAAGGTCGCTTTCATGGGTACCTCCACCTATCCGTGACCTAGTTAGAGGCTCTGTTGCCCACATTGGGGGATGATCGAGTAGATCAGATAAATCCACCGGGAAGACAGATGACTGAGGGCGTTTCAGACACTACTGCTGCCTGGGAGCAGGACAATCCTATATCTGAGAAGCCAGCCTTGGAGGCAGAACTAATGGCTGGCGGTGTTTCCTCTAGGGTAAGTACTCGAGATGAAAGGAGTGCAGATACCGGTGGAACTGGGGAAAGAAGGTATCCGTCTCCACTGGAGATAAGATGATGAAACATTCTTTCTTGGAATAAATTAAAACAGCTTTTTTTAAAGCCACCTTAAATCCTCCTTAGGGCATTCCTACTTCATCCTTTGTCAACATTATTTTCTCCATTTTCCATTTTTATTTAAAAAAGCTTGTTTGATAGTACCTTAGACATGACAACCGTTTCCTGAGAACTGAGGATGTCCTAAAATGTTCATCATACTTGATGCGCGTCTGACCTTAGTGTGGACAAGCAGCTAAGATGAGGCTGCAGATGCTACTTTGCTGCTCAAATCATGTTTGGTATGAATGTATTATAAAAGGAAAAGAGCTCACTGTTTCTTTGTGGAGGGAATTTTGGTAGCCCAAACTGCTGATCTCCATCTCCATGGATAATTACCTTCTCAGCATGAATAAATGGACACCCCCTCCTTTTCTTAGACAGGATGAGGGGATGAATAGGAATGGCAGCAAAAAAAGTTTATCCTTTTTTATTGGTTTTTCCCTAATTAGATTATTATTTAAGTTAAATATAACTTAATATTCAATCTGGTGAATTTGGTTTTCTTTTCTTTTTTTTTTTATTGTGCTTTTCTATGCATCCACATGAACCACATATAATCCTTTTTCGAAACAGAAGTAAAGCAGAGAGTGAATATACTAATGTTTGTCTTAATGTTTTCCTGCAATAAAAACAAATGCAGCCAGAAAATGTTCAACTCATTTGAATACGTTTTTATGTCTGCATCAGAATTACAACGCCTGTTTGTAACAACTTGTGAGGTGTCTGGACCCACACTGAATAAAGAAATACTTTTTTTCTAACAGCTGGAACTAACTTCCCTTTTCAGAACCGACCTGCACCTCCTATTCAAACTGTTTTTTACTTCTCCTCTCAGTGAGCTGTCTGAATGTGGCCCTTGGCTTGTAAAGTTTGGAGCCTCCTGTTGTTGCAGCACTCTGAGCTGTCCTCATCTCCTCAACAGGCTCCTTGTTCAGCTTTCAGCCTCTCAGTGCAACTGTAGACTAAAGCCTTTTGTACTCAAACACAGGAAAACAAGGAGGGATGGGGCATCAAAAAAGATGAATAAATAAAGGAAGGAAGAGAATAGGGATGAATAATTACAAATCAACACTGTGACAGAATAAGATAAACCTCTTTGTACATTTATTTTCCTAAATATTAGTCTTTCTTTTGGTTTAAAAGGTAAGAATTAATGATAAATGATTTGATATTGAATATTTGATGCTGAATTTCCTTGTTGGATGTTTTTTTGATTCAGTCTAACATGATATTGAGTTTGAATCTGATTTAGGGTCAGATTACCAGACCTTTAATAGATTAATCCCTCACTGTGACTCTGAAATAATCCTCTTACATCACAGAAACGCCTCGAACATCAAAGAGGATGGGAGCACCAAAAACGCCCCTCTTCTTTATCTTTACTGCACAGCACTTCCTGCAAAACACACCAAGCTTCTGTCATATTGACATTGATCGAAACCTTCATCAACTGCTGCTCTTTGCATCCAAAACAACTGTCAGTTCAAATATCGATACAGATACAACACAAATATGAGACAGGAAGAATTTTATGCATTTAAAAGAGCAATAATTAAGAAATCTGATGAAAAATTAAGCAAAATTAGTCCCATTTGTCACCGGGATGGAAGTTACATTCCCTATAACCAATTAGTGCTCTCCATTAACAATGCCTTAGTCAAGCTTTTCTCCGACCTAGATCTATGTTTCTGCTAAAGAAGTATTTCAGTGCAGTGTGCAGCACATGTTTACTGCCTGGTTCCTATAGGTTTTTTTGTGTTGCTCTGATCTGTTCTAATCTGTTTTTTCCATCTCTGTTTTGTTTACCAGCATCAGAGCAAATGACCTAGAGAAGCTTAAACTGATGCAGTTGTTGATATGAGAGGAACTAGCTCCATAGTTTTTAGCATTTGTAGTAGGATCAAAGGTATACAGGTGATGAGAAGGGATAACAATTCTCTGGCTTCTTATCCTTTAGAAATTAAGTTTAATTTTTAAAGTGATTATGTTTTATTGGTACATGTTAATGGAGAAACAGTTAACTGAGTATTTATATTGTTAAAGCACTGTACAGTACAATACTCTATTTGTTTTATTGTCCTATCTGTTAGTTGTATACTTTTTTTCTAAGGTGCACATTGTAACCTTTTGCTGCTGTAACACCACAATTTCCACATTGTGGGAAAAAAAAAGGGATTTTTTTTCTGTTCTATTCTATTCTATTCTATTCCAACGCAAATAAGCAACACAGGTTGGACCACAAGAGAGATCAACAGAAATTACTAAATTGTTTTCTTCATAAACATTTTTAATTTTATTGTAATAGGAATGGCCTAATGTTTAATTTTTTTTAATTTCATTTGGTAAAATTCTATAAATAATCTGTTGCAGGTTGCAAAAATAAAACATGTAACTCAGGTAATTTAGAAGTAGCAATGATGTTAAAACCTTATTTTTAGTGTTTTGGAGGAGTTACATTATGACGGGACAATCTGACCTTAAAATATAAAAGGTATAGATTATAAAATAATTACAATAAGCAATATCAGCAGATGATTTTTATTGATTTTGGTTGAAAATTAGTTTTCATAAACGTCTGGTTATATTAGGATCAAAGCTGTTCATATGATTTTTCCCATTTATGAAAGTTTCAAAGATTCTCAAAATTAGATTCATGAAGATTTCCTCAATTTTTTTCACAGTGCAACATATTATAAAACAATCCAATGAATTTGGAGAAATTTCAGGGAGCAGCTACATCAGTGACTGCTCAAATCATTAGTAAACAGTAAACACACACACAGTAAACAATCTGTGCAGACACTTAATCCATCTAGCTCTATGTCTGCGATGAAAATGAGTTGTAGTTTTTGTTCTCGTGCGATTCTGTTAAATATGTTGTTTCAACATATTTAACATAACCAGAGCTGGCAGTAAACAACGTATCAGAGACAGAAGGGATGAACTTCCAGCCGTGCTGGCCAGTGTCCTATAATAGAGTGATGTTTCACAGTTCAAGATATTTGGTTTTTCAGAGTCAGAGTCTGCAGACAGCGACATCGGAGATGTGGACAAGCTTCCAGTTCCTCAGCAAATACACATCAGTAACATCACATGCGATTCCTTCAAGATCAGCTGGAACATGGACAGCAGAGGCCAAGATCGGATCACACATTACTTCATTGACTTGAACAAGAAGGAAGACAAGAGCTCCAACAAGTTCAAACACATGGTGAGACATTCAACTGATGATTTGGTCGTTCACTCCAGATGGGGGATCTTGGTGTTTGCTGGTTAACTAAAATAAATTTTAGAGCCACTTACTTTATTTCTTGCTCTGCTTGTCTTCTAGGATGTACCAACCAAGCTGGTTGCCAAGGTGGTTCCTCTGCCGATGACAGTGAGAGGTCATTGGTTCCTCAGTCCCCGAACAGAATACACTGTGGCCGTTCAGACAGCTACCAAACAGCAAGATGGGGAATACGCTGTTTCTGCATGGAGTGAGATCATTGAGTTCTGCACAGCAGGTCAGACAGGAACATTGAAAAAAACAGCTCTGTGCTTCAATTTCTAATAACAAGCAAATTGTCTTAGGTATATGTTGCTGTGTTCTTGCACAGAAAGTTATGAACAAGTATCTATAGACATTAGATTTAATCTAAAGTCAAAATAAAATGCAGACTATTTCAGTGAGTGTGCAGCAGCAAATAAAACACTAAAACACTTTTTTTGCAGATTACTCCACCATCCAGCTTAGGCAGCTTCTGCAGAAAGCTGAAGCTATTGCTGGCAGGATGTTACCTTTCACAGTTTTCTACAGAAACCAGCAGAGAGAATACTTTCAGCCAAACAGGTGTGTCCTGCAGGTGTCCCTTCTCCAATGCTTTAGGTAATTAATTGCATTTTTAACCCCTGTGTGTTTTGTGAACAGCCAATATTACAGTTCCAGAGATGTTCAGTGCTGCCGCATGCTCCCATCAGTGAAAGACAACAGCGGCAGCCATGGGTCACCCATAAGTGGTAAACTGGAGGGCATCTTCTTTAGCTGCAACACCGAGTTTAACACCGGACGACCTCCACAAGATTCTCCCTACGGGCCATACCGCTTCCAGGTACTTCTGACAAGCTGAACATTTAAAGACTGCAGTATCATGACAGTCTAACTTTATTTATCAACCCAGAAGCCAAAAATCCTTTATGTCAAAAACTTTTTGCTTCATTGGTGTGTGTTTGAAGACTGGGGTAGCAAAAGCTAACGCTGTTGGTTCCATGATGTATGCTTTAAATTTGGAAAAAAAAAAAAAAAACATGACTAATTGGTGTGAGTGGCCTTAGTTGATGCAATGTCAGTGATATAATCAATGTGGTGCCAGTTTATTGTTAAAAAGAACTAACTGAAGGTTCAGTTCACACAGGTGAAAATAAACTAGCTCACTGTCATAGTTCAATTTCTAAAAAATCAGTTAAGTTCACAAACATATAAATTAACTGGTTCAAGTTTATTTGGTAAATTAAGCCAAAATCTTACACAATAGAACCTCATATTTCACTGTTTAAATGTGGGATCATATAATATTGAAAGAAATGGAAATACTTGATGCTTTCAAAATATACGTGTGCATTGATGCCAAATTACATAGAATTTCACAAACATACAGGTACATTTAGTTTCTGCTGAAAAGATCTGTATCAAATTGATTTCTTACGTTTCTCATTCAGTAGCAGATTTCCCAAGATAGTTTAGATGCTTTGACTCAATGTGTCGTTTTAAAGTTGAAGTAGACGTGGTTGACGTACAGAATTGTTTGTTAAGTTTTAGACAAAAAATTTTAGTTTTTTTCCTTTGCTCTGATAAACTGGCATCAGAAATACCAGAAGATGAGTCTGAATCATACAGACTAGTACTAGCAGCAGACATGCTGGTCTGTCATGCTGTTTAATTTAAAAAGTGACGTAAAACCTGACGTTATCCAATAAAAAGTGGCGTTATTGAACATGAGCCGTGTGTGTCGCTCATTATTCTCAGAGTGAAAGTCGCTCTTGTTATCATTCATTACCTCAAAAATGATCCATTCAGTTCTTCGTTCACTAAAAAAAATGAACGTATTCTGTGAATACAGCTACATTGTTAAAACATGATTCAAAAAGCCATACACAAAAGTCATACAAAACAGACTTGAAAGATCCAGGAGAATAACGGGTGGTCATGGATTTGCATCTAACTTGGAATGTGCTGAAGAAGATGGGCCTCTGTTGATTAAAAAAAGCATCATTCCAACTGCAGTTTGCTCCAGAGCAGCAGTCTCAAGATGTACTGTCCTGCAGGTTTTAGAAGCATCCCTGTTCTAAAACAGCTGAATAAAATGACTGTCTTGTCAGTAGTCCTTTGCCAAACTTAGTGGCATGCTAAAGAGGTAATATGGTCATTTTATTTTGCTGTGTTGGAGCAGGGATGCCTCTAAAACCTGCAGGACAGTAGATCTTGAGGGTCGGAGATCCCTGCTTTAGAGCTGACAAAATTTGCAAAGACTCCAGAATAGATGTCAAAACATTTCCCTCCAATTAAGCCTGTTTTGTGTTTTTTTTTATGACAAGGATAAATAACAATTTGAACAGGCATGTTTGAAACTAATTTTGAAATGTTTTTTATTTAATTATAATCTGTAAATATGATGTGTGATATTTGCCCAATTTTCCCAGCAATTGGTCAAATATTAGGGTTGACACTAAGCTGATATTTTTGGTTGAAGCTACTTGTGCACGAGTTTCTGTGTGGCGTCTTTGCACACGGACACCTATGCTCTCGATTACTGATCAATAAAGCTCATCTAATCTAATCTGATGGTGCCTCTGTGCCTGGCTACCCCCCAAACACCAGACGTTATTTAGACGATGGTTTTTACTAAATCTGTTCGGCTCCTTCATAGTCTTGATTTAGTCCAGAAATTGTTGCTAAATATTGAGCTGGGTTTGGTCCGTCTGATTTTCTCCCACATTAGTCCAATTATACGTGTCGAAAAGACGTTGCAAACCCAGTTTTCAACGTGTTCTCAACAATCTGAAAATTACGGCTTTCCACCTTTCATTTTTCGACCAAATGTAAAGCTTGTTTGGACGTAAATCATCATCATAAATTTTTGCTTGGTGGGAAGGAGACATACCTCTTTAGTGAGCCCTTTCCTAATTACCTGTGTTGATTCTTAGTCATCCGGGTCATGACAGCCAAAAACAGGCTTAAATTGGAAATCAAACTGATTTTTGCTCTGTTTATTTTAGATATTTCAATACGTATCCAGGAGACTTTGTCAATTATGTTGGCTTGCACCAGAGCAAAACTTTTGCTGGAGCGCTGATGTAGCAGCATTTAAGCAGCATGTAGGACCAACCTCCTGAACACATTCCAAGTTATATGTTAATCAAATACCCGCTCGTTGTTCTTCTGGATTGTTGGAGCTGTTTGTTATGCATGGGCTGCGTGGCAGGTCTTTTGAAACATAATGTGAACGCTTATGTAAGTTCTTGGGAATGAGTTCCATTACAGAATTGTAAATGTTTGAAAGCTGAAACCGCAATCCTCCCCCCAGTGTTGTTTTTGCCATCTTAGATTTAGTCTTAGTCTTAAGGACAAAAACTATTATTAGTCTTAGTCGCAATTTAGTCATTACGATATGTGATAGTTTTAGTCGTTTTTAGTCGGCTAAAAGTTAAAAAGTTTTTAGTCTAATTTTAGACGGTTCTATGTTGTAAAAAAAGTCAACCTTTACAATATCGAATAACAACCAGATTCTTTACCAGACTGACAGCTCTAGCCTAGTTACTACAATAGCTGGGTATAGAATGCTGCCGTGCAGTTCATCATTGGTATTTGGCAGAAAACTTTGATTTATAGAAATCAAATAACATTTTTTTATGAATTAATGCCATACTTTATTCAAAAGTGTCTCACTAAAGTTGTGAAAATAGCATATCTAGTTCCACAAATCATATTGGTTAATATAGCAGACAGACAAGCTAACACAATGTACAATAAAGGAATGATTTTAGATATACAAGGTTTCCATCCCAAATCAAATACTTTCTGATCTACTATGAGTTATGCATTACACACAGATCAATTAAATTTTGATTGCTCCAAAAAAAGCAACTAAAATGTTAAAAAACTAAAGGAAACAAGGAAAATGTTTTAATTACATTTCAAGGAAACATTTACATCATATTTAAATAGATAGAAACGAGAATTATGAGAGGGAATGGATATTGGTTTGGATATAATTTAGGGATTCCTTTTGGTAGAATATAAAGAATGTTTAGTATCACCTCATGTGAGCTGGAAGAAATAAAATCTCGATAGTTAGACAGAAGGATTTTTTTACGCTTGGCAGAGGATGGTTGGCCACATGTAGTTTATTTAAAGAGGTCATACAATGATTATATAGAGTATTCGGTGCTGGTCCTTCAGGTCTCTGAATAGGATGTGTAACATTGGTTGGGCTGAAAATAGCATATTTGCTGTTGTATGAGCCCTAATGCAAGCCTGGTTAAAAGCCCTAGAATGAAATGACAGGTTTTCTTCCTTTTATGGTATGATCATGAATATTTAGATGAGCTGTGCATTGATTGGTTGGTTTACAACGAGCAAAGCTGCTGAGCAAAGACGCATCATAGCAACAAGCACTCACTCACTGAAACATCGTGATTGTTGATATAGTAGGGTGACCAGATGTCCTCCTTTTCTCTGACATGTTCTGCTTTTAATACCTAAAAAAATGTCCGGGGGCAATTTCTAAATCTTCCGGGATTTTGGTCAACTACAGTCCATCAACCCTTTAAGTAGTGAGAGCAGGAAGAGCCATGCTGCTGAGAGCGAACCATCAGTGTGGAACGTAAAGCACAGACTATGAGCTAAGCGCACACAAAAATGCATTTCTGCACAAGCACAGCTGAAAGAACAAAGTTTGTCAGAGTTCAGCATGAAGTACTGGTTTTCTGTCAGCTGACACCCGGACCATTCTGTATTTTCATTCTGCTGCCATGATCCATCTGTGGTCATGCAGAATAAGCTTGGTTGCACAGCAGGAGGGTTGCGTGTTCAAACATGACGCAGCAGCACGGCTGATACTGCACAGCAGATGCCAGCACAATGATGCATTTTAAATGTCTGACCGACTACCAGCTAATTTTCATTTAGCCTTGTCTCGTTGACTAAAACTCACATCCATAACTCAGAAGTTTCCGTCAACAAAGATCCATGTTTTGCCCATAATTTTTTTGTTATTCCATGAAAAAAAGGAGCGTTAAAGAAATAATTTTGTTATCCTCATCGTTGACTAAAATAAGACTGCATCCCCCTCTGTTCAGTGATAGTGAGATAGCTTCCTTGATGCCTATTTCAAACCATCTATCCTCCCTTTCCAAAATTTGAGCACTTAGATCTTCAAAATGTGTCTTTTGATTTTGCGGTGCAATTGTACAGCTGAATCTTGCCCAGAGCTGCTAATTCCCCCATGCTGTGCCATGCGTTGATAAAGTTGTTGTTTTGTTTCTCCAACATAGAAGGCTGTGTAGTCCTCACTGCACTGGATTGCATACACAGTGCTGCTCAGCTTAGGTTGGGGTGTTCTGTCTTTAGGATAAACCAGTTTTTGTTTGAGTGTAAGCAAAAGTCTGGTTGCCTTCCAATTAAAGCCTGTTTGTGGCACCTATTGATTGCCTCATGCACACATTCTGCATGGACAGAAACTCGTACACAAGTAAAACACCATTGTACGCACCAGAAGAGATCCCGAGCATACGTGGGAGATTTTTCTTCCCCAGAAGCCACAGTTCCTTGTATAAGTTGGATATTTTCTGCATAATGGTTGATAAATTCATATAAAAAATTTGTTTAATATACGTGTGAGTATGTTTAATATGCTCTTGGAGATTTTGACATTAATATGACGCGATACATACCAGTTAACCCTAAGCCAAGGAACAGAGCTGTCTTTATGTGACATTTTATACAGCTCACAGATTAATTGGTCAACATTAAAGCAAATTTGAGAGAAACCTTTTAACCAGTGTAATTGCAGATATCAAACAGAAAAAATAGGTTTGTTTATTTGTGTTCTACAGATCCAAGCAGAACTTCTTTTCAACCAAAGCACCAACATCTACTTTGGAGATTTTTACTGCATGTACACCTCTTACCACTATGTCATTGTGGTCCTAGCCCCAAGGGACTCTAAAGGAGACATGTTTTGTAGAGGTAAGCTGCCAGCTCTAGACCGCACCAACAACTGCTTACTGAGCTGTACTGAGGAGGAGGACGGCTCGCTCTCCTTCCGTCATGCTCAGGATGTCATCCTAGAGGTGATCTACACAGAGCCGGTGGACCTATCTATGGGAACAGTGTCACTGATCAGTGGGCATCAGTTGATGAGCTTGTCTACCCTTAATGCCAAGAAAGACCCCAGCTGCAAGATCTGCAACATCAGTGTGGGACGTTAACAGATCTTTAATATAGCTTGACTAAGCTGATCTGCATGTTAGCAAACAAAAGGAGCTCTAACTTTAACACCACTAGTGCAAACAAATACCAAGCTGAAGGACAGTTTATGCATCGGCTTAACATGTTCTACTGTAGGCCAGAGGCTTGATATGGTGAAATAAATGAAGATGGATCTAGATGAATAAAGATACCATGAAAACTGCTGTTTGTTTGTTCTGTTGTTTAAGGATGTTGTTTTCATAACCCTATGTCTGGGGGGTTTTTTCAATCATTGGCAACATATGTCCTCAGAATTTAACAAAATATGCATCTACATTCTAAATCTAATGTTTCTCTCCCTCAGAAAAGGGTCAGGTGGTGCTTTAATCAAGCAGACATCACATTGCTGCTCTTTCCCTGAAGAAATTACAATCGCCTTATCTTTTGTTCCAGATTAGCTGTTTTACCATAAACCTTGTGAGGTTCTCAGAGAGGGTGGGGTATCTAATAAAAATTATTTTTAGAAAAAACCTATCAAGATAACGCCTGAAGACTATTTTTGTGTGGACAATCTCAGATTAAGTCCAAGGAGAATGTTGAGGTGTCATTTATGTCAATCCATTGTGAATCCGTAAAAAGAAATGTTATCTGCAAATACGTTTTTACCTATGGTTTATTTTAAAGTCTTACTAAAGTGTTCAGCATCCTAATTGCATGCATGTCTGCAAATCGTGTCACAAACATAAAAAAGGAAAGAAGAAAAACACAGCACAAAGTTAATCAGATAATTAGTTTCCTCACACTCTGTATCTCCTCTTAACTGACAGGAAATTCAACAGCCTTATAATGTTACTCAGATCAATAGAGAAAAAGGACCCAAAAGCAGAGACGGAAGCTCAGGTGGTTTCTTGCAGAGTTAATAATGAGCTGTTGCAACAGAAGCATAAATCCAGAAATAACTAATCCATGAACTAAAATGCAGAGGAAGACATAGGTATATAGGGAGGAATGACGAGAATCCAGCAACAAGTAACTGCAGAGGATGAGTATATATGCCAAACAGAACAAAGAATGGAGTAATCAACTGATTTGGAGCAGGTGTGGACAGAAGGAAGTAGAAGGAGGTAGGGAAAGGAGACTGCCACAAGGGGGTAGTAGAGAGTACACAAGAAATACATAAGAGGTCAAATAAAACCAGAAAAATAAATAGAATGATACAAAATTGAAATTAAATCAATTAACTTGAAAACACAGAATGATATAAATCAAAGTGTAACTGAAAACTCAAAAAGAAAACTTAAGCAGAACCTGCACAGAAAGGGCAGAATCATGAAATGGGTTGAGAAACTGGAAGAAATACTAAGAAATGAAACATATGATAGATTGATGCAGCATTGAACGATTCAGGTTGAACAATAAAAAATGGTGTTAGATGTAAAACAAACTAGATGAGCTGATAAGAGGAAATTCAAAGCTAGTGTGACAGGATGAAAACAGTGACCTAAATGAAAACTATTTAACCTGAGTGTAGTTGAATAAAGATATTTCTAGATGTACAAAGAATAAAAGATCAAACTAAACTCATTCATCTAAGAAGTCAGCATCTGTGTTATAATAAAGAACACTGAAATGGGGGAAAAAAAAAACTCAAGAACACAGATAAACAAGAAGGCAGTCATTCGACCACAAACACCAATCAAAATGTAAAACCTGATGATATTAAATAAAGAGGAATTCACTTTACATTTCCTTTAAATTTAATTTCTTATCAGACACTCAATCCATATAATTTTTTTTCTCTAATGTGTTTGCTTTGTGGATGTCCATTCCTGCTCTTAACAAAAGGTTGCTCTGATCTCTCCTACTGGATTGGCCATGGGGGTCACCTGGGGGGTGTTAAACGTTGTTAGGGGGTTCTGATGGGCTGATAACTCCCTCATCAGAGTGGTTTTCATCACATGGCTCATTGCATTGTGAGTCAGGTCAGTGATGATTCTTTAGGGTATGTTCCTAAACATGCTTTGTAAGTAGGTGAAAGGTATAAAGAACTTGCTTCTGAGTATCTTACATCCAATTCCTGCTCCAAGCCCTCAAAGGTGCACCTGAATGGAAGATACCAAACAATAAAGTAATTCAGTTATTGGGTCAAATGTGTCTTGCAAACACATTATTAGTTGTCAAAAAGTATGCATTCATCACTGATATATTTTTTATTTCTTACATTTTCAACATTGTCTTTGATGAGAGGTTGTACTGCGTATTCTTCTCTTCTGAGAGGTCATTGTCACCACAAAACAGGCTTAAAGTGGAGGCAACTGTAAATTCTTTCAGTTTTTCTGAAAACGTTTAGATGCCTACCCAGGAGTTTGTGAATTATGTTGGCTAGCTGACAGAACTGTTGTCATACTGATAGGGAAGGCATGTCAAAAGACAGTCCTCGAGGGCCAATGTCCTGCAGGTTTTAGAGGTTGCTCTGCTTCTGACAATTGCAATTCAGCAAACGCCTGTTGATCAGCTATCAATGAAAATCAGCAGTGCTAAAGCAGGGTAACCTCTAAAACCTGCAGGACAGCAGCTCTGGAGGACAGACTTTGGACATGCCTGAGATACCAGAGTAATATAAAAGGGCAAACAAATGTCAGACTCCCAAACGAAGATGACAGAGCATTGGAGAGGAGAGTTAGGTTATAATGCTGAACTGCTGAGGGATGTATGTAGAACACCTACAGAGCCACACCTGCCAAATCACAACCTACAGAGAGGAAGAGCAATGAAACAGCCTAGATCTGCACAGCACTAGTGGATATGACCATTTTAATCTTTAATCTGATGAATCATTATGACTCATAATCTAACTTAGTTTCTGATCATATGAGGTTACCAAATAGATTAAAGATAAAAGAAACATAACAGGAAGAGGACATTTAAAAATTAAGAGATAAGAGAAGACAAGTCCATCAGGCAGTGAACAGACGGAGTCCACCTAGACATGGACCTATACATAGTGATAGTACTGCTGCTTCTGCCTTGGAGATCAGGTAGGACTAATTTTTTTATATGAAAAAGTTTAGTAAACCATTGATTAAATACAATTAAGCTTTCTTAGGTCATAAAGAGGTCATAAAAAGGATTATCAGTGCTGACAGCTAAAACCCAGCATTAAAAAAAAAAATTATTGTCTAAATGGGCTTTTCTCCTAATTTATTGTGGTGTTTGGCTGTGGAAAAATCTATTCTATGTTGGTCTTTGGTAAAAAAAAAAAAAAAAAACATCCAAACATCAGTGAGAACCCCTAAAACCCTCTAGCTCATCAAAAAGCATCCTATTCTGTTTGAGTCTTATGCAGTAAGTGAATGATTATTGTTCTTAAATGCTTTCCGAGAAAACAATTTGTAAGTTCTTTTCTTCATTTGTTCCATATTCACTGTGCCATACCATATGAGACAAAGCTGCAGTTGGCTTCCGATTCTAGCTTTCGATTCAAGAAATTAATAAAGGGTCTTTATTGAAATATCACAAATCAGAGAAAGGTTTGACAAAATCCCAAACCTGGTTTTAATTATTCTACAAGTAATTTATAATAATTTAGTTCAGGTTTGATGTGTCTAGGTGTTGTAGTTTTTTTTAATTAGAGCATATTAAAGATTTTGAAGGTAGTGAAAAATTAAGTGGAATCACCTTTTATTAATTTCCAGAATCATGGGCTAGAATCGGAAGCCAATTACAGCTTTGTCCACATGAGTTAGTTTATTTTAATGTCCTTCTATCTGTAGGTTAATTTGATTGTTAATGACCCATGATATGAATTTCATGTCAAAGATACATTAAAAAACATTTGCTATTGAAGAGGACAGATGAACCTGTGCTGTAAATGGTTTGATATCAAATTATTTTCACTCCCAACTTGTCAAATATTATTCCTTGCTCAAGCCGCCTGAATCTCAGACTATTTTATTGATGTGCAGGGTGCATGAAAGGTTGAGAACATTACATTCTCACTTCAAATTTGTCAAATATTTGTGCTTCGGTTCAAAGCCTTCATGTCACATACTAAGTTATGGAGTAAATGAAAGGTTGAGAACATTGTATCAAGCGACACGCACATTATTTTTTAAACTTGACCATTGTTGGTATCTTTGGAGTGGATGGTGACAGGATACTGTTGTTTTTCTGGGTTTTTTTACGTTTAGGGGTTAGAGTTCAGTTTTTATTTAAAGCTCGTAGAAACTTCTCCCAAGCTCCTCCAAAGCTATCATGCACCCTCAATGCTGAGAGGTGTTCCCTGGTCACATGCAGTGGGCCTGACCAAGTGTCCATTTTGGGACAAGTAGAGAATGAGGATATGTTGTTGTGGCAGCTACTTACACAAATATCTACAATGAACTGCATAGTAAAAAAATATCACACAAAAATATAACTCATCCCACGCCTAAAGCAACCAACAACGAACTTTGTAGGCTACATTTTTTTTCCTAATTTGTTGCGGGTCACGTCGGTAACCCCCATTTACCTTGGGCATCCATATTTCATTAGAATGGTACCACAGACACTTTAGCATGTTATCAGAAGCGAGTTTTAACATGGCATAGATATTTGACAATTTGGGAGTGAGAACATGTTGGTGACATAGCACAACTTCTTACAGAGATCTCTAATTATTTCTCCTCTCTTCTTTTTTTTAGGAGCCATATGTGAAACAACCAAAGCTGACATTGTGATGTTAGTCGACAGCTCTGGGAGTGTTTCTCCTGATGACTTTGCATCTGTTGAAATGTTCTTAACTGAAATAGTTAAAAACGTTCATATTGATCCCAACGGTGTCCAGATCGGTATAACTTTTTTTTTTTAATATATTTTCAAGAGTTTTATATGTGATGAAAGGGTTTTGACAAAAACTATAAAATGTTATTGATACCCAGGTAGAGCAGAAGCATGTAGGCTGTTTAGCCAATCAGAATGCAGAACACAATGCACAATGCAAATCTGTGAAGCAGCGAGGCCAAAAAAGTTAAACCGCGTTCACTGGGTTCAGTGTAATGGGAATTTTTCTTTCTGCTCATCCAACACATCAGTAGCAAATGTATGATGAATACAAACAGTAACTTCTTACTGTTTGGTTTCATCAATGGCTGCATGCTTTTCAGAGGTCTGACTTGGTACAGTTACTTACCAAAGTCTAAGTGGGATCTGAACACATACAAAAAAAAACTGTCCTTGGTAATGGCTCAAGAAATTACAACAGTTGCATGGAAGGCACATGAAACAGGTCAACATTTCATTGACTTCACAGCTGATTCTTACCATGAGGTGCTCTGGGACTTCGGGTTCTGTTGGGATCCTCACTTACAAACTAGAACATTTCAAAAGATACATCAAATAAAGAAACACCAGCAATTATATGAAAACTAATCTACCAATCTAGTCATTTCCCCCTCTTAGTCCATGTCAGGGTAGCAGAGGGGCAGGTGCTCTCTGGCAGTCTATGGGTAAGACGGGTGTTACACCGTGCACCATGTCTGTCGCAGGTCAACACAGAGACACGCTGTGACAGACAACCATACACACACAAACACACTCACACCTACGAACATTTAGAGAAGCCAATTAACCTAGCTTTCATGATTTTATGGGAGGAAGCCAAAGCACCGGAGAGAACCTATACATGCAAGGGGAGGACATGCAAACTCCATGCAGAAAGAATCCGGCCCAGGAATCAATCCAAGAACTTTCTTACTGCAAGGCAACAGTGCCATCCACTGTCCACCCTGCAGCCCATATGAAAATTAACAAATATTAGCATTACTAATCTCACAGGAAAGGCCTAATTTTATTCTCTTTTAGAATATCCGTCCTTAAATAAAAATTGTACAGACATTCTAGAAAATGTGACTTTTAGAAAAATACGTTTCTATTAATGTGTAGGCCCAAATTATTAATATAAGTTCACTATGTTTAACTTTTTTCCCTTAATGTAGGTATTAGTATATAACATAAACCTTCACCCCCAGATTTTTATTTATCTGTTTTTGGAAACATGCAGGAAAGGCTCTGGCTCACATTCTACATCACAGCTTTAAACCAAGTGTGGGGATTCATGCAGAAAATAAAAAAAATGTTGTTCCAATCACTGCAAAAAGACCAAAAGAGGCTAGATTCCAAGAAGTGTTAAGTTTAATAATCTCGTCTATCAATCTGTGTTCTTAGTTCTTGGATTTTCATATCAACGACTCATTTGCTGCAGATATTCACCACGTTGTGTAAAATACCTACAGTGTATGCCAATTTAATTGCCTCTGGAGACGCTGAAGATTGTTAACACTTGTCTTAGATTTTCGATCCCTCCACATGATTATAGATTGCCTTACCCTTAGCCCCTGTCACAATGCTCCTAGACATCCTCTGTATAAACAGCTGCATATGAATGTGTAAACAAGATAAGGGCTGTAAAAAATAATCTACAGAGATCTGATGCCTTCAGGTATAAAGATGATACTGAAATTACATTTCTGCATTAGGGAAATATGTGGAAAACTCCAGTTTAAATAGTAATAGATTTCTTTTTGTGGGATCCAGACCATCTTTTAAGTCTTTGTCAATATTTCTTTTGACATTACGTCTATATCTGCCATTTGCTTTTTTAGGACTTGTGAAACAG